AGATGCATTCTTCTTTCTCTTTTACACATATGGCCTTTTGTATGTAGTTAACTTTTTTGTTCTGAGACTTTTAGAGAGACATTTTGATATTTGAGTAGATGGGACTTGAGGTCCTCTGGTTGTTCTTTCCTGTGTCATGGTTGTTGTTTTGGATTTTTTGTCTCCTCAATTCTCTGAGTTGGAGTAATATTAAGGCTCAGTTGGGACTAGATTATGTGTGGGGTGAAGTTCATTGTTGCTTGACTGAATTGTGAATGTTTCTCAGCATCTCTACTTTGTGGTCTTGATTTGTCCCGAACACTTTCCAGATTTTCTTAGATGGAAGGGTGACTGAGAATAGCACCAATGTCAGCAACAGATGTACAGCCTTAAGATAAGTGATCAATGTCCACCTTGACATATGCAATAATAATTGTCACTGGTGTAGGATTAGTGGGGCCACCATTTAATATCAATATCAATAATAAAAAACTGTGAATTAGATAAGGCATTTGACAGCAGGTGTATTCTATGTTGTCCACTGTATTAATGATCGCAACAACATGAGTGGCGTAGGAATTACATAAATTTTATAATTGTATTATTTAATGTTATTACAGTTTCCTAGGTAAGAGAAAATAGTGTTGGAAGGCAAAAACATTTTGAAATATTTTAAAAAGTGATCAGAGGGTCAGGATATAGGTAGCAGATATCAGCTATAAAAAATAAGGAATAAAAAATAACTGAAAGTCATGAAAAAAGAAAAAGAGGAAAAGGTAACAGGAAAATTTGGTTGTTACTGAGGGAAGAGAGTGAAGAAGGAGAGATAGGAGGGACAAGAACCAAGATATGAACAAACCAGAAAATGTAAGATCAAAACAACCTGAATCTTCTTATAAGTCACACCCCACCTAAGTCAAATCAAGGCTGAGTAATAAATGCAGAAGAAAGCTACTAATGTGAAGGTGAAATTATATGAATATATATACACACACACGACACACACACATACACACACACACACATATATAGTATATATTCTCCAAACCTATTCATGCAGTGAGAACACACACACACACACACACATTTACGTACACATACACACAAAATTATGCATAATGGAAAAAATTAAACAATAATACAAGAAATGATGCTTGAAAAATTTTTTTAAAAATTAAAACTTAAAGAAGATTAAAATAAATGGGAATACAGAGAATAAATAAATAAGGAAAGGGCTGGGGATGTAGCTCAAGTGGTAGCGCGCTCTCCTGGCATGCGTGTGGCCCAAGTTTGATCCTCAGCACCACATACAAACAAAGATGTTGTGTCTCGCCGAAAAAAACAACAACTAAAAAAATTAAAATTAAAATTCTCTCTCTCTCTCTTTAAAAAAATAAATAAGGAAAAAGAGAAAAAGAGAAAAAAAATCTTAATGAGAAATAGAGGGCTTGTTTCTGCTATAGTGATTAGACTGTTGGCAGGGATGGATTTCCATTTTTTCTATTTATTTTTGGCTCTGCAATCCTTGGGTCAAAGGCTGGGGATTGTTAAGTTCAATGTCTTTGTGTTCCTCATACTTGCTGGCCAGGTGGTGTAGCTCTCAGGTTTTAGTCTCCTAGTATAGGGTGGGATAGACTGGGGAGGGCTTATGAATTGTGTAATCCTGTGTGTGGGGTGGTGGTGGTGGAGGTAACACAGAGTTCAAATTGGAAGTTCCAGTAGTTGGGATTTAGTCTTGGGTGAATTTTGGAACTCTGTTGGTAGGTATTTGAGATTTGATCCATGCCCTCTGTTACTGGGGAGCTTTCAGGACATCGGGATCTCTGGGGCCTCTGGTAAAATCCATTTTTAGGATATGGGGACTACATCTTCACATGATTCATCTTTACCACTATGAATGTGAATTACCAGGTATTTGCCCAAGACTTCAGATGCTCCTGCGTGGTCACGATCAGTGTCTTTCCAGTAGTTCTCATGGGGTCCTAGCAACAAAGATTTTCTTTGTGTCTATTTCAGTAGCTCTGGTTCAGGCACACACTGCAGATCATAATATGTGACTGCTGGGTACTTCCTTTATACATCCTGATTTGTCTCTCCTCACTGCTGTGCAGTGTTAATAGATAGTTTCCAGGCTGCAACTCTGGTCATTTTCTGAGCCAGCAATGTCAGTTACCACTGAGCTGTCTGCCCTTGAGGCTCAAGCAATTTGGGGTTTGTTTTAATGAACTACTTTCCCCACCGACTCTTTGTTCATTAAGATCAATGTCTCTCACAAATCCACAGGTTCTCCCAAGCCAAAATCTTTAAAATTTAATTTATTTTTTTTTGTTATTATTCACCACACTGTCTTGTCTTTCTACCTGCTGTCCCCTCTCCCCTCAGCGGCTGCTGTTGCAGTTCCTGCCACGGCCAGCCACACTGGCACATCTCTAACACTACGTATTATATTCTGTTTGAGGATTCTGATTTTCTGTATCTGTATAGTTTCTTTTTGCAGTCCAGTATTCAATTTCAGTGAGTTCAACTTATTACCCACCTGCCTGGGGAGCAATCGTCCTGCTTTGTAAGTCTGGTGCTGAGGAACTGCTAGGAATTGTATCCTTCCTCTAATCCACTGTCTTCTTATTTCATGGGCATTTAAAATCCAAGCTATAGCTTAGGAAAAGTCAAAGAGAAAAGTAGAGCTGGTGGCTTGATGGATTGCAGTAAAAACATCTTACTTTCCACATCTCACCAGACCCTGTGAGCACATTGCCAGGACCCCTCGCAGGAAAGGACCTGCCCAAGTAAGGGCCCTGAATCAATAGATTTAGAATCCATTCACATGGATGCAAAGAGCTTTGCAAAGCTTCATGAGATTCATGACAAATCTCTGCCTGGAAGAAAGTTGTTGTTTTGCAAAGATGTATCAAAACAAACAAATACTCAAGCCAGCAAGCAAACAGCAACAACTGCTGTGGATGAACTATTTGAAATAGTAAACTAATGCTTTGAAACAACATGATATTACAGAAGCACCTGGAATATTTGTACTGTAACCACAGGGGCTTAAGAAAGGTTTTATGTTTGTGCTGAAAATTCTGATATTGAAATTTTACATCATCTTGTTCACAGAGCATCTTGCTCCTGACAAAGTTTGCCTGCAGATGTGAATTTCCCATTAAATGATGTTATCAGAGTGGCGATAAATACACATAAAGTCCTAACCCATTTCAGTCAAGGCTGTTTTCAGCTTTATGCCAAGAAATAGGATGGATATTCCACTTTCCGTTTAATACCTTAGAGCATTGTCACCCAAAAGGAGGATTTCATTGAGTTTATAAACTGAAAGAAGTGTGTGTGAGTGTGTGTGTGTATGTGTGTGTGTGTTTATGAATTATTCCCCTTTTTCAGATTTATTAAACAGTAGTTATTAGATTAAAAAGAGTGACTTGGTTATCTAAAAAATTTTAATATCTGAATGAATGAAGTTGAAATAAAATGTTGGGACTGTGGGAAAGCATATCAATGTGTACTGACAAAATGCATGGATTATGAGAAAATGTTCAACTTTGAAAGTGGGCATAAAATGACTGATTGAGTACTAAGGAAGAATTTTGAAGACCAGTAGAGCAATATGAATGAATACTTGAGAAAATGCATTATTTAAAGAACTTTTATATCAACAGATTCAGAATCCACTAACATTGTAATAAGGAGGCTCAGAGCTACATTTATCAATGAAAGTAAAGAATATTTAGAGAATGATTAAATTATCTGAAATTAGGTCAATGATGAAAAGGAGTTTCTCAGAGGAAAGGCAATAAACAGTTATCTGCTTCTCATTAATATCTGACTTGTATGGATAGAATTCTTACAAATGGTGTCTGTGGGGACTTAGAGGAGATCAGCCATCAGGAAGATCAGGAGTTTTAGGGGGTTCTTTAAAACATAAACCTGTTTTTATAAAATTATCTTTATAGAGAAAGCTCAAGGTTCTTAATTGAAACATACATAATATTTAGGATAGATATTTATTTGGAAGTTATATATCAATTCATATTTAATATCATCTGTATTTCTTTGTTCTTGTTCAAAATTATATATTGCAAAAAGTTATGACTTTATTTATAAAGCTCCATGTTAATAACCCCAGGTAGTAATACTCACCAATTTAGTCCAGTGAGCTCTACGAATATTATTGTTTTGCATGTGGGTCTAGAAGATATAATGTAGGGAAGGATTTCTTGGTGGTACGACCTCAATTCCTGTTGCATCTTGAGGACTCTTTCTCTCTTTCCTCATTTTTAGGATAGAGATAAAGTTCATTCTGTAGCTGTGAAGACAAGAAGTTAAGATTTATGAAACACTTAGATTAGAACCTGGCACATAATAGCAAGAAATATTAGAACACATACAAGTGTTTTTGTCTTGCCAATGCCTGACTAGCTAAGATTTTATCTGCAACTTCTTGGAGTTGGTACAATAAAAAGAACAGGAATCAGATTTAATGGTATTTTCATATTGCACACATAAATATGGGGGCCAAGTACGGACCAGACCCATTTCATATTCTTTCTATCCAGCACATCCCTTGGCACATTGAAATTGCCTGATAAATGTTTTATGAATGAAGGAAAAATAAAAATAGGATTTTCTTTTCTTTGGTACCAGGGATTGAACTCAGGGGTACTCGATTATTGAGCCATATCCCAGCCGTATTTTGTATTTTATTTAAAGACAGGGTCTCTCTGAATTGCTCAGCACCTTGCTTTTGCTGAGGCTGACTTTGAACTCATGATACTCCTGTCTCAGCCTCCTGAGCTGCTGGGATTACAGGTGTGCGCCACCATGCCTGGCAAAAAGGATTTTCTTTGGTCTAAGAAAAATAAGTTGGGTCAATATTTGCCATATACCTCTGGATACCTAGTATGCTGATGCTGAGCTGAGGGACAGAGTGTGCTATTATTCACCGGACACTTGTATTTCAGTGAACAGGCAGGGATGTTCAGCATACTAAAGTGTGTGTTTGTTTCTTTTAGAGGAAAAAGTTCACCATCACCAGCAGTGTCACTGGGAAAAAGCACACATTTGTCACTGATTCAGCCAAGACATGTAAATATTTACTGGGCCTCTGTTCTGCCCAGCATGGGTTTAATGCGCAGATGGGCTCTGGGCAGACTCTCCATCTTTCAGCTGGTGAGTAGATGCTATATTCTCAATGGACACTTTGACAAGTTTGTTGTTTTGTAAATAATTTGTATGAACTGATACAATTGACTGGAAGCTTCTATAAAGACTTCAATCTCCTCAGTAAGGACAGAAATACAATAAGAATGAAGTATATTTTTTTCTCAGATTGGCAAACACTAAAATAAATAACACTGGGAGGGTAAATTGATACAACTTTCCTAGAGTACAATTGGAAGTATATATCCAAAGTCTTTAAAAAAAAACCCATGTCCTTTTGGCCCCATAATTTTACTTGTAGACAGATATTTATTTTACAGTAATAAATACAGAAAAATGCAAAAGTTGATGTTCATGGGTGTTCACTGGAACATTATTTATAGCAGTGAACATTTGGAAGCAACCTAAATTTCCCAGAATAGAAGACTAGTTAAAAAAAAATCATAGCACATCTCTATAGTTCAGACAGTTAAAGTATTTTTTTTGGAGAAGGATGATTTGTGAGACTGTATATGCTATAGAGCTAAGTGGGTGACAGCAAGATATGGGACTATATCTAGTACCATCCAATGGAAGTTTCTTTGATGATAGAAATATCTGTAGCCTTCAGTATGGGAGTCATCAGTATATGTACCTATTGAGCATTTGAAAGGTGGTAAAAACAAATGAAGGATTAAATCTTTAATTTCAGTTTTAGTGATTTATATTTAAATTTGAATGGCTACATGTGCCCATTTATTAAAAAGCATAGCCATACTCAGGTGGTTAATAATTCCATGTTACAAAACAAGAAAATAGAATATAGAAATGAACACCACCACAATATCACTTGTTATTACCTTTGTGAGTTATGTATGCAAGCATGATTATTTTCTTTATATTTTTCACTATTTGTTAAACTTCCAGCATGAGCATATATTACTGATAAAGTTAAGAAAAAGCCAATTGATTAAAATGTGGCCACACATCATGTAAGATCAGTTAACAATTATTGAGCATGTAGGAAATTCTATGGAGTTGTTTATTACCGTTGTTCCTACTTTTTCCTGACAGTATGATAATCCTTACATGCAAGATCTAATTTATGCTCCAAATACACTTTTTTCACACTGTAATTGTCAAACAGCCCTGTGAAGCAGGAACCAACATTATTGGAAGAGGCAAACTGGGGCTGGAGTAGTAAGAACTGTGACGGGTGTTTGTTGGTGGGGCTGAGACTTGAACCTGTGGCTCTTGGGGTCCAGTGCCCATCTACTTCACCTCCTGCAAAGTGATATTTCATAACTTGCCTGAGTGTAAACTTTAGGGCCAGAGAGACTTGCTTTTGAGTGCTTGCTTTATCACAGTGTCTGTTGATCTCTAAGCATTATTTCTTCTTCTGCTATAAAAGAGAACAATAAAATACAGTGATTCACACTCTACAAATTCAGATTGTAGTCTTTGGGCCCTTCAGTATGCACATTACCTTGGAAGTTCACGATGGATGCAGAATCACAGGTCCCACTCCAGGCCTACTAATCAGAATTTGTATTTAAAAAGATCCCAGGTGATTTGAATACACATAAAAGTTAGAAAAACACCGGCTAGGAAAATGGCTGGGTGACTTTGGCCAGCTCACCTCCCCTCTCTGAGCTTTAATGCCCTCATTCAAACATACTGATTGTCTCATAGGCTTGTGCTGTACTCCAGCACGACAGTGCATGTAACATTTCTAGCTTGATGTCTGGAGTGTGAAGTAGGACAGTGTCTCTTGAGTATGAGGATTTGACTCAGTGCTAATGCATGTAAGAGCTGTGTCACAAGTTCTAGGGACTGGCCCAGGAGTTAGGTTAATAATGGGAAACAAAATTGCCAAGCTTAGAGATGAAGATGCAAACACAGAAAATAAAGGTAGCATATTATTTGCAGCAGAGCCAAATGAAGATATAAACATTTAATTGGAACTGCAGGCTGTTGGTCCCAGGTTATTTCCAGGGAGCTAGAGATGATAAATGCAAATTAATTATATCTGATTTACCTGGTGTTGCTGAGATACCGTGTGTGAAACACCATCAATATTGCTTTTATTGCTTGATTTCAGTGACCATAAAATATTTATAAAGACTTCATGAGCTTACTTGTGAAATTAGTCCTTCTAGGCCTATTTTGCTCATAATAAACTGTTTTCTCAAACTGCAAATTCTACCACCTTAAGAGTTTTCAGAAATCTAATGCACATTTACACTAAAAGGATTCATTTTGACAATTCTCCTTGCCTTTTAAAAACTTCATTTGAGAAACTCTCCGTGGACACCATTTTCAGTGATTGCATGCAGCAAAGAGCTGGTCATCTCCATCTGTCCTCAAGCTCTGCATCTCCAGCTGATCTCTTCCTCCTGTGTAACTCCAGGAGTTCTGCCATGACCTTTGCCTTGGGTTCAAAGGGGACCACCCATTCACCCAGCAGGAACTGGGAGTCTGGACCTGGACCTTCTCTTCCTGCCCCACATGCCACCAAATGCTCTCAGATGAGCTTCCTGCTGAGATTTATATCCCCTGCCACTGTCCGAAGTCATTTTCAAAGTGATCATTCCAAAGGACCCATCCAATCATGTTCTTCCATGCTGAAAACTGTCAATGACACTCTGCTGTCTGTTTGTACCTAACCTCCTTAGGATGACCTGTTGGATTCTTCCAACTCTTGCCCCAACCCTGACTTATTTCCTGTCTGGTTACCTCCCCTCTCCTCTCTGGCTATGCTGCCTACTTCCTTGCTGGCTGTGGAACACACCAGCGTATCTCGGGTTCCAGGGTCTTGGTGCCAGTGGCCTCTACCATTGATGCTGTTCCTAACCTCTTTGTGGCTCACACCACCAAAATAAGCCTGATATTCCATGAACATATTGAAGGACAGCCTCCCCCTTGAACAGACTTTCCTTTTTTGGCTGCCCCCAGTCGACTCCTTCTCAGGTGGAGTGGAATAGACTGCTCCTTCTTTGTGCAGATCTCTTTGTTTTTTTCACTCTTATTTGTGCATGTATGCCTCTAATCTGTGGTAGACTGGGAATTCCTTGAAGGCAGGGACAGTATCCTGCAGTCTTTCTAGCTCTGTTATGGAACAGAGAGGTATGTCAAAATGGCAAGTGGTTAATACATGTTTGAATGGATGGATGAATGGAAATACTATTTGTATGGAAATACTGTTCCTTAATCATCTCCCTCTTTTCATGCTTAGTTCGCGTTTCATTTTTCAATACTACTAATAATATTGTGATAAACATCATTGGAGAAAATTCTTTTCTTGATTTTCTTATTTCTCAAAAATGTATTTGAGTACAAGAGCCAGGGCATTTTAAAAACCATGGCTGTTTTCCTGAGTGTTTTGCCTTCTTGTCATCCTGCCTGTTTCATTGCATTCTTGCTGGAATAGTTGTCATTGTGTTTATTTTTGTTCATTTGACAGGTAAAAACGATTTTTCACTGTTGCTTTATTTTGTATTTCTTTTATTGTTGAGAAGCTGAACACTTACCAAATGTTTCTTCTGTGAATTGTCTCAACAAGCATATTACTTTATAGTTATTTTTGGTTCCCTGGGGAGAAATAATCACTGAGCTTTTACAAATGGGTATTTCAGGACAAGTAAGTATTTCAGCACTGCAGAGTGGCCCCATGGCCTTTCTAATGGGTGGTCCAGTGCTTCAGGATACTCCTGGCCCTTCCAGGAAACTGTGGCTGAAAGACTGCAAATTTGCAGTGGGCTTCTTGGGATCTCATCCCAGTTTCCTTTTCTTTGTGGGTATCTCCTGTGTGCTTGGAACTCCAGCCAACTTGGGCTTCAGTCCTTGATGTCCAGACAGATTCGATATTTGTCATATATTTCCCAGATGCCACAGTTATGCTGTGAGTCACCCATGACCAGGGAACAGAAGCTGTTCATTCTCCTCAGTGTGCCAGTGGCTTTGGGACATTATTGGCAATCTTTCCTTCTGTTCCTGAAAGATCGTCAACCCTTGGATCTCTGACCTACTGACACATCCCTCCTGCACTGTAGTCTACCCAGTCGAACCTCATGAGGCCAAGGCCTAAGGATGAGGCCAGCACTCAGCACCAGTCATCAGGCCCACAGCCTCGGTCTGAGTCTGTGAAGCTGAATATCTTGCATCTTTGATGTCATTTCCTGACCTCACTGTGGGCCCTTCATCTGTTCACTGAGCTCCCTCCTCAGCCTCCTGACTCCCCCTCCAGCTTCTGGAAGGGAGCACAGCTCTTCCTGAGTCCCAGGCACTTGGGACTCTCACCTCTCTGCTCCGCTTCTATGAGTTTCTTCCCTAAGGGACAGCTCCTTTCTGTAGCCCCAATCCCTCCACAGTCTTGCTTCAAACCAGCCAAACCTCTATGAGCTGAGGCCCTGAATCTAGTGTCTCTTCCTAAAGTATCCTAGAATATTAAGGGGGTGTTAATATCTACGAGAATTAAGTCCAATGTCACTGTCCCTTCTGGCCCTGGTGATCAGAAGGCTGCGCAAGCCTCAGGTGAATCTCTTGTGCTGCTGTTTTGGTCTTTGTGTCAGGTTCTCCCATACTCCAGTGTGGAAACATACATTCAAAGACACCTCCCACACACATTCACTACACACACACACACACACACACACACACACACAGACCCCCATATATACACTGGCCATTCACTCACATACAGAGATTCCACAAACACACATTTATCATACACACATATACTGGCACCACACAGCACACTTAACATATGCACACATACTTAGACATACACACATACAAGAAAAAGTGGTGTCCATAACAAAGCAATGTGTGCACTGGCCTTCCTTTCAGGTTTTAGCAGGGAGCAGATAGTCTGGAGATGGTCATCATTTTTCTTTTTCAAAATACAAATTCACTTTGGGTAAAGCCTCATTAACTTAAGAGACTATTGATCAAATCCCCATTTTTTTTTTTTGTGAACAATATAAATAGTGAAATCTCTTACACCTGGGACTTGACCAGAGTCACCTATTAATCCTTTCTGCACAAAGGAAGGAAGGGAAGCAACAAATCTAGGAGTCCAACACATTGGTGCTATATTGGTGTTATTTATATTCCAGGAAACAGAATCTTACATGAACTATTATTACCAGGGAAAACTAAGCTGTGTTGAGATTAAAGATTGTGTGCCACAGGGCAAAGCCTAATTTTGGGAGCTTGGATGATTCAAAGTCCCATTTGTTATGAGAACGACTGTGAGGACAGATCTGCAAAGGCGGAAAGCAGAACTGGGTGCTAGAAGCTAATTTTATCTAAGGCCCTGCTGGAGCCTGACATTCCCAGGAATGCTTTGGGTGAGCACCCATAAGAACAGGCTCTTGGGCTCCCAGTTCTATCAGCTACCAGGGAGGGAGCCTCTGGTTTTTTCTTTCTTAGGTTTCTAAAATGTCCTTCATTAGCAAGTGCTAATTAGGAAGACTTGCAGTCCCAAGCCTAATCACAAGAATTCCCTGAGTTAGCATGAGGCAAAAAAGCAGGCCTCTCAGTGCAGAAAAAGAACTGGGAGAGAAGAGCCTGAGCCTGGGAGTGTTTTGCCACTCCAAGAGCAATGGGACCAGTATCATGTTGAGTGTAAAGTATATTTATCTTTTTCTCCTCCAATTCAGATCAGGATAAGTTTGTGCAAATGGCAAATTCAAGCCCTGCCCGGCAGGCCCAGTCCAAGCCTCTTACATGGATTCAGAGATTGTCATGCTCAGAAAATCAGTTGTTCATACCGAGGTTGCAGGACACCATAGGCGGCCTGCTGAGTGCGTCACTGGAGAACTTCAACTTGGAAACCAATAAGGAGACTGGTACAGAAGGAATCAGAGACAGGTGGGTTTCCTCTGTCCTCTGAGCCCAAACTACCAGGTATTGGTGTGCTGGAGCCATCTATACCTAAAGCCAGTTGTTTAAAGGATGATAGATGCCTAAGGAAAAGTATATATTCACTGTCAATTAATTCCTTGGCTTAGTTGTGGGGTTATGCTTTTCTTATGGCTTAGTCTAAGCTAAATACTGTAGGGCAAAATTTTACTCCCCTACCATGATGCTCATACCTTTTGGTAGAGAAAGAGGACAGAATTTAAAAAAAAATACAGTAATTTTGGCCTTATCATAAGCTAGGTAGTGTTCTAGGTACTTGCACATATCAACTAATTTAACCTGTAGAACCATGTGGAATATTTTTATCATCCTTCTCATTTACAGGAGGGGAAACAGAGGGGCTAGAACTCAAACAAATACCGCTGGACCCAGAGACTATATTTCTGATTTTGACACTATTCTACCTTCCCCGTTGATGACATTTAAATTTTTATGTGAAAACAGTGAGCTGATGCATGTAACTTTCCATTATAAAACAATGATCCATACATTTAAAAATAGCCTAGAACTTGGATGACACTTACATTGCAAGTTATATAAATAGCCCAGATTCCCCAGGCAGCACACGACTAACGAGGATTGCTGTAGGAGCTGTTTTGAGGGATGAGTTATACATCTGCTTCAGCATGAGTGTATGGATGATTCATTTGAACTGAAATTCATGTATATATGTATACATCTTGAAGTAATTCTTAGAAAATTATTGCCCAAATTCTATAGATGCAAATGTGCACTGCAAACATAATCAATAACGGGGAAGCAAAACTGTTCTGTGTATCTATTGCTGTGCAACAAACCACCCCAAAATGCAGTGGTGTAAAACAATCACCATTTTGTTATCCCATTTCATAATTTTCTAGGTTAGAAAATCAGGCAGAGCTGTGTTGGGGAATTCTTCTGCTTCTTGTGGTATTGACCAGGATCATGACTGGACTGGTCTGGGGGAGTCCAAGATGCATGCAAGGAAATGCATGTGCACAGCCCTTGGTGTGAGTGGCTGGGGCTGGGATACATTGCTAACTGGGTCCCTCTCCCTTCTTATGCAATCTCAAGCCCTCTCCATATGGTGTCTCCAGCAAGATTCTACATGGTAGCTCAGGGCTTCAAGAGCCCAGGGAGAGATTGCCATTCTTTATAAACTCTAGCCTCGAGTTAACATGGCATCTTTTCCACCATATTCTTGGTTAAATTAGTCCTAGGTCAGCACAGAGTTGAAGAGAACAAAAATAAACTCTACCTCTTGATGTGACCATCAAAGGGTTTGGGGCCATTTTTTTTTTCATCTGCCACTCAGACTAATGGCATTTTATAGCATTTTATTCTTTAAAAGGTAGAAGCAGCCACGATTGGCTTAAGACCACTGTTAGTTTTCTGTCACTGCAACAAAATCCCTGAGACAATCAGCTTTAAAAGAAGAAAGTTTATTTTGACTCACAGTAAGTTTCAGTCCATGATTAGTTGGCCTCATTGTCTTCAGGCCTGTGGCAAGGGAGCACATCATGGTAGGACTACATGGTAGAGGAATCTACTCTCCTCATGGCGGCTCAGAAGGAAAGAGGAAGTTGAAAGAGCTGAAGTCTCTATATTTCCCTTTAAGGTACAATGATCTAAGGATCTTCCACCAGGCTCTACCTCTTAAATGTTTCCCTACTTCCTAATAGTGCCATGGGTAACACCTTTAATATGTGGAACTTTGGAAAGTGCTTTTCCCAACCTAGCAGCCACATTGAACAATGTATTAACAGCAAAGTAAGCTTCCTGGGGATGATGGTGCTTCCAGTGACCTGTCAATCATCCCTCATGGTAGGGGTTTTGCAGCATCATATGGCAGTTGGCTTTTCCAATAGGAAGCTGTATTGGAGTCCTCAGTAAACTCTAGATACTGCTGTAAAGTATGTTTGTGTCTCTCAGTTTACTAACGCAAAAATTTTACCACTCTTAATAGCTCTCTAGTAACCTGTAGGGAAAAAAAGGAAACCAAAGACTTGTTTTAAGTCCTAGGCCATCTGGAAGATCCAAAAGAAGCACAACCTAAGCCCATGACTTGGTGCAGGTGGGTTTTTAAAGATGTGAGGCCAGGTGTGAGCAGAAGCGTGAGCTAGGGAAGGAAGAAAAGCCTGTACAGGATGGGGTCATCAAAGTAACGTTGAGGGCAACCGAGGCTCAGTTCCTCAGCAAAGTGTACTGAAGATCTCCCTTAATTGCCAAAAAACAGAAGGGTGGATGCCTGTGTGCCTGCCCCCATTCCTCTCTGGTTGAAGGTCATCTGTGGGACTTGGCTCCCCCATACTTTTGGGTAAAGAGGGAGTGGGAGGATGAAGAGAAAGCTCCCAAGATGTGTAAGAAGTTCAAGGGCAGAAAGAGAACTGCATCTGAGGTGGGATTTTGTCAGCACGAACTGAGCCTGACCACTCATGGGCCTTCCATCACAGCTATGGTCAAAGTCTGAGGTGGGCCAAGAGTGTGACTGTGGCCATGGGTCACTGTCAATCTTGGTGACTGGAGGAGATGCTTAGTATTTCTGCTTACCGCAAAGATGACTCAGCTGGAGGTTCCCTTCAGACCACACTGTGGATCCATCCCAGCCTTAAGAGAGTTGGTTACCAATGCCTATCCAGCTGTCTAGTTCTCTGTGATCCTGAGAAAGTTATTTAACATGCTGTGCCATTCATCCAGTGGTATGAACAGTAAAGCCATGCCCACAGGGTGGCTGCAGGAATTAAACTGTTATAAATGTTGAACACGGGCTGAGTCCACAGTGAGGGTCCCAATGCTGGTACCCTTTCCATGGTCTCTACGGGACATGATAGAAGCACATGAGGACAGAATGGATTAAACATTCAAGGCAGGCATAGGTAGCATTGTGGCTCCCTTGCAGGTGAGGACTGGGGAGGTTTGCATGGGAGAGGTGACATTAAGTCTTGTTTGACGAGTAGAATTTGGGCTGGGTGAGAGAGAAGGGAGAAACACCGTGAGTAAATATTCATTCATTTTGGTTGGTAAATTATATAAACACCTACTGTGTGCCAGCCCTGGGCCAGGTGCTGAGCTTTCGGCCACCTACTGCCTGTCACTGCTTCTCCCAAGCCTTTCCCAACTTCCCTTGCATAGGGATGGTACCTGCACACCACTGGGTCCATTTACGGAAACCCCCCTTTTCCCTTTCACCCCGACATTCACATGCTTTCATCCATCTCCCTGTCAATCACTCAAACTCAAGAAAAGTGACATATCAAGTGCAGTCTCAGCTCTAAGGTCAGAATGTGAAGGCTTTCAGTAAATTTTTTTTTAAAGGTTTACATTAAAAAAAAACCCTTTATTTGTGGTAAAAATAGACAAACCATAAAAGATATCATCATAACCACTTTTTAAAGTCACAGTTTGCAATGACATTCAGTTCATTCACATTGCTGTACAATCATCACCACCCATCATCCACCAGATCTTCATCTTCCCAAACTGAAACTCTGTCCCCACCCAACACTGACTCCCCATTCCTTGCTTGCCCAAGTCCGTGGCAACCAGCACTCTGCTTTCTGTCTGATTTTGGCTACTCTAAGCACCTTATAAACCAAACAGGCTCGTATAATATCTGTCCCTTTGTGGCTGTCAGTAAATGACTTTTAAAGTGGAGGGCAGCATGTGTGGCCCAGGTCACGTGAGCTATAAAAACTTGGGGGCACATAAGCCCTTTCTTTTCCTCAAAGGCCATTTCATTTTCATATCCTTATCAGCTGCTCCCAGACGGCTGGGATTTCTCCTTCCTTTGAACAAATGAACACTCTGCTAACACCTCTCCCTGGGGTACTTGGTAGACTTGGAAGTTATCTAGACCCAGAGGTTAGGACATATGTGGTTCACCCTTTCACCCTGCATGCCTTACCAGCCCAGGCATGATCCTCAGTGAGTTCTCAATCAATTTGGGTTGAATTTGCTGCAATGCACAACATAAGAGCAAAGACAAAGAATGAGGCTCATTCTGACCTTACAAAGAGCTGACTGTGCTGCCCTTCCCTTTCTACTAAGTTCCTCTCCTCTGTCAATCCTGTTCTTTCTGTGAATACTGCCAACCAAGGCAGCATCCCTTGCTATGGTCCAACTGCCTAAGCTGTGGTGTGGCCTCTCTGGTGTTGGGGACAGTCTGCTCATGTGCTTGTCCATCCTGGAGACCCAATAATAACTTTTTTGCAAGGCCCTAGGCACCCATAGCTTTGTGTCTATTCTTCTTGCTCTCTACTCTGCTTATCTCTGAATATAGCTTATCTCTTTGGAGAGCTGAACTTGGGGATAGGGCAGGGTCCCCTTGATTCAAGCATGCTCCTAGTGCTTAGAACATGCTTCCCTTACTAGAATTTTGTGTATATTGTCTATTTTTGGTTGTTGTAACAAAATAATGCAAGCTGGGTACCTAATTAAAAACAGAAGTTTAATTAGCTCAGTTTTGAAGGGTGAAAGTCCAAACAGCATGGCACTGGCTCTGGTTAGACCCCCTACTGTCTGCACTATCTCATGGCAGGTGGCATCATGGTGGGAATGCATGTAAGAGGGAGACCTGAGGGTGAGACAAGAACGAGGGGAGGGGCCAGTCTTGCTCTTTTATACCAACCCATTCTCCAAGAACTATTTAATCTCTTCTGAGGTCAGTGTCTCATTAACTTAAGCAACTCCCATTAGGCTCCACCTCATAAATAATCAACTAACTCCCAGCATCATACTGAAGACCAAGCATCCAGCACATGAACTCCTAGGGCACAAACCACATTTAAACCATTGTACTGCACATTCAGCTAAGGCCACTGAAAACATGCACGAAAGTTTTCTGATCTCAATAAGTGCGATTGGGAGTGGAGCATCCATCTCAAACACCTGTAAAGATCACCAATTTTTTAGTACTCAGGGAGGCACAGCCTATGTGGGGTACTAGAGCATGATTGGCCCCACTAAGAGCCTTCAGCTAAAAAAAAAGCAAACAATAGAACATCAGGACCCATCGAGTGTCATGCCTTATACTACTATATGGTTTTGGTGCCATCACAAACCTGGGAAATAGAATATTATCCCTATTTTATGGTTGAAGAAATGGAGGCCTTTAACAGCTGCATATCCAACCCAAAGGTGGATAGTGGGACGTTCATGTGAGATCTAGGTGACTGCAGTTAACCCTTTGGGACAGAAAGATTCTACCACCATTCTTTTGGTGTAGCCTTGATAATCAGATTTGATAACATTCCTTCCTCTTTGGAGAATGTGTCTGGAACTGCTGGATAGTCAGGCAAAAGTCAGCCTTCTCCAGATCACTGTTCATGTTAGAACTGCCTAAGAAGTTGCCTTATCTTACTTACATTGTAACCTTTCTCTGCAGCCTCTGCCCTGGCCAGGAGCAGCTGAATAGCACCTGTTTGATCCAGAAGTCAATGACCTGTGGCCCACTTTCTGGACTGCCTTTTCAGACTATGAACACAGGTATGGGCCAGGCCATGGTTTTGGTAAAGGAAACCTTAGATACAATGTTTGATTTTTGACCTTCTGCCACCACTGCAGTTTGTTTCCCAAAGTTTGTAACCTTTTTACTTTTAAAATGATTCTAAAATTTTCTTATGGTTGGGAAGAGCTCTCCCAATCAACATTTGGCTTTGGCTGGGTATGTGGATCTGTAATGCATTAGCTGTGGTGAATTGGTTTCCAGCCCTTTGGTTCAGCAGAGGGAATATCTACTATGGAGTGGTATGTTTAGAAAAATGCACCATCCATTTTAGTTATGCTGCTTCTTCAAGGCCCAGCATATCACTCAGTGTTCCCCAGAAAACATGCACAGGGAAGATAGCAGTTTCCTCCTGGCAAGCCCCCAGTTGAAGGCAAAGACAAAGAGACTTCATAACTAAGGAAAATATCTATATTTGATGAGCACCAAGCCTGAAGGCTGGATCTGGAATACCACCAAGCAACTCTCTAAATTGAGTGTCTGCCAATTTCCATCATGTTTCCAGAGGGAGGAAGAGATGTGGAATGATGACAGTGGTGCGTCACCAGTGGGGAATTTTCCCAAGTGCATTGTGACAAGATTTGGAGAATCTAATCCCAGAACTCTGGGAGCAACTGTAGGGCTGTACTTTGGATTGCCTTTAAGGCCCAAACTGGGAAAGTACTCCAAAGTACCCAGACTGGGCTGATAGCTCCTGTTACCCTCTGACTGTTGGAAGCCTGTGTAAGTCAGCTTTCCATTACTGTAACAAATAACCCAAGATAAATAAACTTAACAAGAAGAAAGTTTATTTGGTTCATGGTTTCAGATGTTTCAGTTCATGGTTGCTTGGCTCTGTTGCTTTGAGCTTGTGGTGGCCCATGGCAAGAAGACAGGGTAGAAAAGGCCTATTCACTTTATGGTGGCTAGGAAGCAAAGAAAGAGAGGGAAGAAGGAGCTAGGGTCCCAAATCCCTTCAAGAGCACACTACCAGTGACCTAACCTCCACCCTCTAGGACCTACCTTTTATAGATTCTCCCGCCTTCCAGTAGCACCACAAGCTAGTGAGCAAGCCTTTAACGCATAAAGTTCCTGGTCCTCTTCCATCTTGTCTCAAGGCCAAAAAACTATCAAAAGTCAGACAGAAAAGAGGCACCACAGCCCAGTCTACCTGGCCTGTGCTCTTACAGCCCAAGTTTGACCCAAATTGACCCAGTGAGGCTCATTGGAAGAAAGTCCTCAGTGATTGGTTCTGAGTTTTGCTAGGAAATTAAATGTGGGCTGTCTTTGCTCTCAGTGTGTATGTGTGTGTGTGTGTGTGTGTGTGAGTGTGTGTGTGTCTGTGAGAGAGAGAGAGAGAGAGAGAGAGAGAGAGAGAGAGAGAGAGAGAGAGAGAGATTGTTCCCTCCTTTTATATTGGGTTCCAAATAATTTGGGGGTAAAAGCACAATATGGTGTTTTGATTACACTCCTAGGGTTCCAGAATAACAGAAGAAAGAGTGTCAGTGCTGAACCTGGTCGAGAAATTGTGCATGTGACACTGAAGCGTGACCGCCATCTTGGTTTTGGTAAGAGGGCTCCCTCCAGGTGAGACCCACTCTCTTCTTTCTGGCAGAGAGAGATGTGCGTGTGGTTTTTCCCTTTGGACTTTCTACTCCCTTTTCTTTCCCCTCTTCTCCCAATTTGCCTTTTTGGGGTAGTCTCTTCTGCTTTTCCCTCCCTTGAAGTACCCCTAAGGAACAGTGGGACTTTTGTGTCAAAAATTTCCCTGTAGGCCCTGATACATTTTGGGGATGGGTCTAAGCACAAGGTAGGAAAGTATTTCCCCCTAATACCGTGTAACCACATTTCTCTAGCATAAGTGGATTCTTCACGATAGGGAGTAATAGCCAGTCTTTCTCTCATCATTGATCACATTTGAAGACCCTTCAGATCATTTAAAAACAAGATACTGAAACAGAGTACTTGACTAAAAATCATCTCTTTCCTATCTCTGATTATCTTCTGGAGTAAAATCCAGCACACATTTTGAGCTGCATTTCTAGCTTTAGTTGTGATTGCTAAAGGGAATAACTCTTCCCTGTGTATTGCACCCAGATCCAAATATTAGTTATGCCACCTGGTAGCTGTGTGAGCTCAAGCAAATAACTTAACCTCTCTGAGCTTTGAAGTCATTAAATATCATCTTATTAAATGCTATTTTGGATTATAGGTTTTGTCATTAATGAGGGTGAAGACAGAGGCCAATCTAACCCTGGCATTTTTATATCTTCTATTATTCCTGGAGGACCAGCAGAAAAAGCGAAAACAATTAAACCAGGTACATCTTCTTATTAACTGCCAGAGATGCTGTTTTAAGGAATCACTCTTTCTTATTTCCATGATGGGTTATTGAGTATGTTTTATTTTTTTCAGGAGGGCAGATATTAGCCTTGAATCACATTAGCCTGGAGGGCTTCACATTTAACATGGCTGTTAGAATGATTCAGAATTCTCCTGACAACATAGAATTAGTCATTTCTCAATCAAAAGGTATGTCTTCACCTAATTCCAGAAACTGAAGAGACTTTTATTTTCAGGTGATCACTATTACCATGGGCAACTTGCTAAGTTCTGCATAGGTAGGTATTTTGTATTGGTTTCCTTGTGGAAATGGCTTGCATAGAGGCCATGTGGTGGCACAAATCAATAAGCTCTGCACTTTCAGGGGCAGAGTGGGCTTTGCCATTGCTTATCTTGCTGTAAGGCAGAAACTTGCTCTCTTTATTAGGCCTAGCTGAATACACCCACTGTGTGCTTTTCTGCCCAGTCTCCTTACATGACATGGAGGATATTATTGTTGTCACTCAAGTCCTTGTTGAAAGTGGCTGTTCTACATAGTTTGGGCTTAGCTCTATCAATCACCTGCACAGCTGGGAAGGAGACTGCAACTGATCTGGAAGCTGAATTTGCATAGCAAGCATGCAGTTCTTACTTGTGGGTGTGTGACAGATCAACCCAAAGAGTCAAGTTTTTGTTTTTTAAAGAATTTTTCCATCCTTTAGATAAGAATGAGAGAGCAACTGATTAGATCAAAGAACGATATGATAATATTTATTTGGGGCAGGTTTAGGGGCTGGATGGAGGTAACAGGGAGGCTAACATCCTCCCCATCCTAGTTTCCTAGGACCATGGATGCTTTTCTGGTTGGGTGGTTTTGTAATTACCGACTGTTTGAAACTCAAGCTCATCTTTTGCTTCCTCATGCTCCCAGGGCATGGCACAATTTCCCCCTATGTACAGAAATGATTCATATCACACTGGACAGCATTGTCTAGGCCTAAGTGCAGGCACCTCATTTGCTGGGCCCTATGAAAACCATGCACACACTCTCACTCTTACACATGTGCCCATCATCGCAGATGGCTTTCCCAGGCATTGCAGCTGCCCAGTCCAGAAGCAATGGGATGTGGCGGGGTGGGGTGTGATGATACTGGTGCCTTGGTGGTGCAGCTTTCACCCTGTGGCTGGAGCTGCCCCAGGGGCTAGCCTCAGCTCATGCACAAGGCTGGTCTCGGGCTCACTGTCTGGTGGTGTACTGATTCTTCTTCCTAAGGCAGTTCAGCAAGCCTTAAATTTTCCTCTACACTCTCTGATGATCCATCACTTTTGTTGTCAAAAAATTTAATGTGGTAGTCAAATCACATTTCAGTATAGTCCAAAGATGGCCTGTTGTGATAGGGCGGGTGTCAAAAATTGACACCCAAAGTCTGCATCATCTTAGAATTCCAGACGTGGGTTTCCCTATTACACAGACTCTCACCTTGGGCCTCAGTCACCTGTTGAGACCGTGGCCTTTTGTCACAGTTGGGGTTCCTTCTACAGCTGGACCATCACTGGAGGAAAAGGTTTCCATAGTGACCCTGGCTGCACCTCCCTGGGCACAGACTTGACTGCCATGAATTTTTATTTAATTAAACATCTGTTGAGGTAGCCAGTTTAAATTGGAGGTCATTGGCCAAATAGATAACATCCCATTATGAGCAGCCATCAGGGTCTACAATAAGTTGAGTTTTAATTATCCACAGAAGGGCTCCTAGCTCATATTTCTATCAGAGAGGACACAAGTTGCACAACTTGGCTTTTAAGCTCAGTCATAAGTCACATTCTCATTTCTCATGGAGGGTGTAGAAGAAAATGAACAGATGGCCACAATATTACCAGAAGGATGCAACAGTGGACTATGAATGAAATGTCCAGGAATATTGCATTTTGGAATGGTGTCCTGCCTCGTTACCTACTGAGTACCTTTAGATTTGAATGACTCAAAACCAAATTCATTGGGGCTGAGGGTGTGGCCCAGTGGCCTAGTGCTTGCCTAGCATGTGCAAGGCCCTGGGTTCAACTTCTAGCAACACACAATGATGAACATATTCATTAAATGAAGTTCATTTAATATAGGAGTTTGGGCATTTCCCTGGGTGTTAATGAGTCTGTATCAAACTAGTGAATCTATCCATATATTTATATATTGAGATCTAAAGAAACTTAAACCATTATGCCTTCCTGCATGTTTGTTGAATAGTTAATGTTAACATTAAATACATTAATTGTTTTTATATATATGCTATATATGCATGTATATTAGAGTATATCTATATATCTATATCTATCTATCTATCTATCTCTCTCTCTATATATATACAATCTCTTTATATAATTTCTTAACATCAAAACCTTACAACATTATTGGTATTGTCTCCATTTTACTTAATTTGTTTCATTTTACTTTTTTGGTACTGGGGATTAAACCCCAGGGTGCTTAGCCATCATCCCCAGCCTTTTAAAAATATTTTTATTTAGAGACAGGGTCTTGTTAAGTTGCTTAGTGCCTCACTAAGTTGCTGAAGCTGGCTTTGAACTTGCGATCCTCCTGACTTAGCCTCCAGAGTTGCTGGGGTTATAGGCATGTACCACTGCTCCTGGCTTATCTCCATTTTAGATAAAAGGAAATTGAGGTCCAGAAATGGTAACTGCCTTGTCCAAGGTTTACAATTGATTCTCTGCCTCATGTTCTTTTCTCTGTTCTGTGCCAGGTCAAGGTTTAGACTTGGGATAAACAGGAATGAGTGTTCTAGTTTTTACCCACAGGAACCCATAGTATGGTTATTACCAAATTCCCCCCCCCCCCCCCAAAATGATGTTTGAATCACATGCTGATCACAGTGGGGTCTTGGGAGAGGCTGAGCAGTTCCACATACCAGTCATGGGATTGGGGAGGAAGCTACTTATTTCTTTTGACTCTGTTTTCTCATGTTTGAACTGGGATGATATCTTCTCAGTGCCTTGTTGAGAGAATGGAAAGATCTGACTCTTTCCCCTCTCACTCCATTTGGTGACAAGATCTTAACAAAGGCAAGTTGTCATTATTCATTTTCCTTGGACCTATATTTTCATAGTTGGGTCACACAAGTGACCTTTTTATAGGTTTCTGAATCACATACAGAATCTTCCCTTTCTCTGTTCTAAATGCAACATCCTTTATAAAGTGCTAAATTCACATGATTTCTTGCAACTGTTAAAGTTCTTTCTGTCACTGAAGAACAACTGGGTGCCCCATATAGAGATGATGCTGAGATGCCAGCCTTTTCAAGCTGCTGATTTCTTGTTGGCTTGCTTTTATAGGTGTTTGTGGAAATAACCCCTGTGAAGAAAAGAGTAGCACTGGGGTCTTCTCTACCAACATCCTGAGCAACCAGGGAAACCAGGGAAGTCTATCATCACATACACAGGACCAAGACAGAACTATTGGAGAGCTGAAAGTGGCTCAGCTACCGAGCTCAATGCCTCAGCTTTCCTCTCTGCCATTAAAGGTGATCATCCCCTTGCTTCTTTTTCTAGACTTAGAGGAAAGAGAATAGCTCGTGAGTCCTGTGCTCTCCAAGTACCATGTCAGGTAGTTAGTTGGAGGTTACTTAACCCCTCTGATCCTAAATGCCTGCACTGAATATATGTTGAAAACTATGCTGAGTTCCTGACACAGTGTCTGGTGACAGGGTTCATTTTGGACATTAGAGTGTCCCTAATTACTAATTATAATTGCTCATGGTAATAACAACATGAGCAAATTGCTGCCAAGGGAAAAACATGAGTATCTCAATATCTTGGCTTCTAATTGGCTTTCAAGCTGGCAGCAAAGTGACTTTGGTCTTGACCACTATCCCATAAAATAGGTGCTCAGTAAATCTTATTGCATGGAGGAAGATCTTGAAGCCTGGTTTTGTCATATGAGTGACATGTTTCAGCCATCCTCTGGCTGCCTACTTGAACACTGGGTGGGAAAGTCCACCTTGGCCTCTCCAGACCCACCTTTTGCCTTCTGCTCTGGGTCCCTTGCAACTAATGTGAACAGACCATGTCATCTTTCTCTTCTGGTTGGTTCTGCCCAGAAGCAGCCCTGGCAGGATCCTGCAGTTGGGGAACAGGTTAGGACAGGCTTGTTACTCTCCCTGTGCTGACACAGGGTTGCTGTCACTACAACTGATGAGCACAGCTCCTATCAGGCAGTCTGGGCCCCAGAAGGACTCTCTAGGTTCTATTACCCACTTTCCTCTTGCCCAGGCTCAGGGGTGGTAAGAGCCTCCTCTGTTTCTTGTCCCTGGTGCTCAGCTTCTTCTTCTTAGTTTCTTCGAAGGCTGCAAGAACCTTTGAGCAGGTTTGCTTATCACTGCCATCTCTCCAGAAACTTATACAGTACCTGTGTCTTAGTCCATTTCCTGTTGCTTTATCAAAATAGCACAGACTAGGTAAATTATAAACAATACAAGTTTATTTGGTTCATGGTTCTGGAGACTGGAAAGCCCAAGATTGAGGGGCTGCATCTGGTAAGGGTCTTCTTGCTGAGTCACAATATGGGGAAAGGCACCAAATGGTGAGAGAGCAAATATGAACATAAGGAAGAAAGAGTGAGAGAAAAAGGGGGACAAATTTTCTCTTTTTATAACTATTCACTCCCACAATAATTTATCCATGAGGATTGTGCCATTATGACCTAATCACCCCTTAAGGTATTACTATATTATAATGGCAATTAAATTTTAAGAGTTTGGGGGCTAGGGTTGAGGCTCAGTGATAGAGCACTTGCCTAGCATGTATGAGGCACTGGGTTCAATTCTCAGCACCACATAAAAATAAATAAATAAAATAAAGGTATTGTGTCCATCTACAAGTAAGAATATATAAAAAAAATTTCAGGAGTTTTGGAGAGGACATTTAAACCATAGAATTTTGGGATAAAATAGGTGTTCAGTTAATCTTGTTGCATGATTGGATGAATGAACAAGTCTTACAGAGTTATTGTAATATACCAAGCAAAATGCCTCGTATATGGAACAATCATTTTTCTCTTTCTTGAAGCATTCAGCTATTGTCTACTGAGGATCCAACATGGTCACTATTGCTAGGAATGATTAAATGACCTCCTCCTGAGGTCATTGGTATCATATGTGAGGCTTGGCTGGTATCATGAGTGAGGCTTTCAAAAAGTGCCTCGATAGCTTCAGTTCTAGCAGGTATTGCACAGTGAGGGGAAACAGGAAGGAGCTTACATTTATTGAGTCCTTGCCATGTATTGAGCATATTTGTAGTCAGTTACAGGAGGGGATCTCACCTAACAGTTATTTTTTTTAAGCTTATTGTATTTATCCTTTTAAATTAATTAATTAATTTTGTAGTAGAATGCATTTTGACACATTGTACACAAATGGAGCACAACTTCTCATTCCTCTGGCTGTATATGGTGCAGAGTCACTCCAGGGATGTAATCATACATGTATACAGGGTAATCATGTCTGTCTCATTCTACTCTGTTTCCCATCCCCACAGCCCCACCCCTCTCCTCACTCCCTTCTACACAAAGGAAAGTTCCTTCATTCTTCCCTATCTCTCCACCTCGCTATGGATCAGCATTTGCTTATCAGAGAAAACATTCGGCTTTTGGTTTTTGGGGATTGGCTTATTTCACTTAGCATGATATTCTCTAGTTCCATCCATTTATCTGCAAATGCCATAATTTTATTCTTATGTATGGTTGAGAGAATTCCATTGTGTATATGTACCACATTTTCTTTATCCATTCATCTGTTGAAGGGCATCTAGATTGTTTCCATAGTTTAGCTATTATAATTGAGCTGCTAGAAACATTGATGTGGCTGTGCCATTGTAGTATGCTGATTTTAAGTCCTTTGTCACCCACCAGTTCTATGGAATAGGAAATGGAAACTGGAGAATCTGGGAGACTTGGCTAAAGTCACATGGGGAGGAACTGACAATGCTGTAGATGAGTCCCTGTTTCCAGGCTGGAAGCTCATGCTCTTTCTGGATATAATACTGCCTATTCCTGGCAACTGGTGATAGATAAGAGGAACCTTCTGCATAGACACAGCAGGTGCCTCATGCCTTGTTTTCTTCTGTTTCTTTGTTTGGGACAGGGCTCTTCTTGTCCTCCATCACCTTCAGAAACCAATACTGATAGAATCTACTTTGTGGAGCTGGTTAAAGAAGATGGAACACTTGGATTCAGCGTGACTGTAAGAGATGTTAGGAGGGTTTAGAGTACAGTTAAAAAGGGCTCCCTATGGAGCCTTGGTGGGGCTTGGTTCATCTACTTCCCATGTGCCAATGGTGAGTGATACAGGCCAATGGTGAGTGGTGAAATCCACGGACATCCTGAGCAGGATCACAGTGGAGCCTTGATCTCCATCCTCCAAGGGCCAGACTGACATTTTGCATTTGACTTCTGAGCTCTAGCAGAACCTTATAGGAGATAACTCATAATCTTGATCACCCAAGGGGCTGGGAATGGTGCACACAAAGGTGACAAAAACTCACAGGTCAGGGATTGGAAGGTACTGCTATTGTTACTGAGCACTGAAAATAACTCATTACCTGTAAACCTTGGAATGGGTCTAGATTTGAGCAATAATGCCATTGTTGATTTTTATTGTTGACTGAATATGGAATGGTATTTTCCAGCAGGTAAAGAAATGTCATGTTCCAAAAGAAACCAAAAGATAGGTGAATAGAGTAGGCATTCTTTGCTTTCCTACATGGTAATTCTGAAAACCCAAGATCCCTGGATTGCTGAACCATCACCCTGCAATAAACTTGACAGTAGATAATTTTAAGGAAACAAGTAAAACATCAAGAAATAAGGCTCATGAATTCATAGGGAGTGAGCAAGCTGCTACCAAGTATGGTCAATTTATTCTTGGCTTGGGGTAGTACTTTTATCAGACACCAAACATAGCTATTTCACATCTGAAAAACTTGCTAAATTTTAGATTATTCATTTACACACACACACACACACACACACAAACACACACACACACGTTGATACTAAGAAGAGGTTGGTGATTTCTTTTGGCTGATGAAGAAAGTTTGATTTTCTTTGGAGAAGCTTAATTGCAAAAATAATTATTGAAATGTCTCATTCAAATCTGAAGAGCCATTAAACAAATGAAAAACAGTCAAATCCATGAGAAGTCACAGGAATATAAATTAAATTAAAATGAAACTTTACAACTTTCAACTTGTCTAAATATAGCTGATGGGATGTAGAAAAAGGGGACTGTCTTACAAAGCTGGTAGAATATGGATAATTACATGCACATTCACATTGGGATGCAATCTGGCAGCATCTCTGTAATGAAAAATGCACATATCCTTGAGCCCATAGAAATAGAAATCAGAATTCCACTAAGTAAGACCATATACGTGAAGATGTTGAATACAGTATTGCTTACGCTGACAAAAACTCTGGGGAAAAATGACTAGAGATCAATTGAGGAAAGGCTGCCTGTGCTTAAAATAAATGAATCAGTGCTAGCTCCAGCTACATGGGAAGACTTCCATAAGGTCCCTATTCAGCAAGAAGTCAAGATGTAGAGAACTGTTCATATGAGCTCCCTTTTTGTGTAATATGTAACCTAGGTGAGTGTATATTTGTCTGTGTTTATTAGTAAGAAACAAAGGCCACCAAATAGTAGTCTGAAATGAAGCAGAAGTTACTGTTTAACTTGGAAGAGAGAACTTCATCACCCTCATGCAATTTCAATAAGTCTTTCTAAAGAGGAACTGAAGGGGCTAGATAGAGGACAAAAAAGGCAGAAGTCCACCAAGCGAGGTGAGACTGTGAGAGAGTGTGTCTGTGGCTGGCTCATGAGGTGGGTTGGGAGCCCCTTCATTTCTACATTTAAAAAAATGGTTCTTTTTAGTTATATATGACAGTAGAGTCTACTACTACTACTTTGACATATTTATAGAAACATGGAGTACATCTTATCCTAATTAAGATCCCACTCAGCTCCTTCTTGTTGGTTGGTTGCCTTAAGGTTTTGCATGAGCAATGTTGGAAGCCTAATTTCAAAGGAGTCTTGACTTAATTGAATTAAATTCCACCAGGTCTTAGAGTTGGGCAGCTTTCTGTTACTATAGTAAATACCTGATATAATCAGCTAACAAAAAGAAATGGTTTGTTTTACATCACAGTTTTAAAGATTTCAATCCATGACTGAATTGGCCCTTTTCTTTTGGGCTAGCACACAGTGGAGCAAAACCTCTCAACTCATGGCTGGGAAGTGAAAGAGAGAAGAAAACAGTAGAATTTTACAATCCCCTCTGAGGACATACTCACCCAAACCTAAAGACCTCTAATTAGGCCCACCTTTCAAAGTTTCCACCATTTTCCAGTAGTGGCACACTGGGTGACAATTCAGTCCAAGCAGGGTTGTTTAGCTGACAGGCTCGGATGTCCATCTTGAAGCTTAGTCAGGTTTTTCTTTAATCCTTTCTATATGATTATATGAACACACAAAAAAGTACAGAAGGATATATAGAAATATTCCCAGTTATTGCCAGCTATTAGTTTTATGTAGTGGGGTTGTGAGGCATTAAAAAACTAAGAAAATGTACAATCTCATTGATAAAAATTCTGTCTCATATGTCTGCAAGCATTAAGTAAATCAGAAGGGAAAGACAGAGTTAGATCTTGATAATTTGACCTATAGAATGCTCATAATTTATTGTTAAAAAATAAGTTACAGAATATGGTGTAGTTTCATTCTATATTTATATCTACAAATACACAACCACACATGATGTTCCAGGCATAAATCTTCAGGCAAATCCACCTATGTTGGTTATTACCTGAAGAGATACTGTGTATCTACACGACTAGTTGCGAAGCACCTCCCATGTGTGGATGCTGGGCTGGGCTGAGGTTGGCTTCCTCACTCTGCTCATATTGTTATATTCCAGGCAAACACCTGACCTTATTGCTCAGTGGAGAATATAGGCTACATAGGTGAATACAGAAGAGAACATTGAAAGGAGATGAGGCAATGATAGATGGTGGGGCACAAAGGGGCTTCCTTCATTAGGGACATAGGGGAGGACCCCCAAGAGGGGCAGATAGGTGATGAGTTCTTCCTTGTTTTTCAGGGTGGTATTAACACAAGTGTGCTCTATGGAGGAATCTACGTGAAATCCATTATTCCTGGAGGCCCAGCTGCCAAGGAAGGACAGATCCTTCAGGGTGAGGGATGGAGTCATGCTGGGAGCTCTGTGGTCTGGGCCAGGGAGGGTCAGCCTCAGGCCTCACCCCACTCCTGCTCTGGAAATTCCTGCAGACCATTGTCTCTCTAGGGTTCAATTTTGTCACCTGCAAAGGAGAGGATTTCACTTTACTTACCCCATGTGATAGGCTAGCAGGGGGTGGGGGTGGGGGTTAATGTTTGTAGTGACACATTGGGAAGCATGATATGAAATAAGAGATTTAAAAGACTCATTGCTGGCCTTCACGGGAGAGAGTACCGCTTCTCTGGGAGAACAGAGCTATCATTGGTGACTCCACTTTAGTACGGGAAAACAGTGAATGTTCTCTCCTGGTCTGCAGGAATTTCCAGAGCAGGAGTCATGTGAAGACATGTGAAGACAGAGTGGGCATTTGCATCCCTCCTAAGACACTTTAATATTTGGGGGGACTTAGTGAGTCTTCTCTCTGCCCTGCCTCAGGTCTCATTGCTCTGAAGGAAGGCAGTTGTTTTTATTATTTTTCCAAACTGCCAGAGTTGAGATAAAAAGGCATTTAAGATCTTACTTATCTCCATTTCCCCTTGAATTTCACTGTCTCCAACATTGACCATGTCTCCCTGACTTTTCTGAAAACTGAAAAAAAAAAAAAGTTTCTGGGGATATAAATATTATCCCTGAGCAACTTTAAAATACTTTCAAAAATGGTTTCACAGGAAAACAGGAGAAAGGTTAAGGTTGAACAGAGCTGGCTTAAACATCCTGTGAGCCAATAATAGAAAGGCTTTCATATCATTGATCTGTTACATCCCTCAGAAGGAGGGGTGAGGTATTCAGAGAGGCAGCTGATTCTCAGGCCGAGGCAGAATTCATGCTGACTCCATGGCAGCTCTGTGCTGTCCCACTTCTTGAAGCTGCAAGGAGGATTCAGGGCAGGGGCCTTGCGGAAGGGTCTTTCCTGCATCCCCAGAGGTCCAGGACATGACATGTGTCCTTTTCCCAGGTGACCGACTCCTGCAGGTGGATGGAGTAAGTCTGTGTGGCCTCACCCACAAGCAGGCTGTACAATATCTCAAGGGTCCTGGGCAGGTGAGTGTACCCTTGCCAGGGGTTTTCCTTTACTTCCGGAGCTTTTCTGGACAACATGAGAAGCTGCAGTTTCTTCTGGGTGTGAGAGAGGCAGCCAGGGGGTTAGCAAGAGACTTTTTTCCTTGTCAACTTTTTTCTTTTTACTTCTTTCTCTTATCACTTTTCGCTGAGGATGTTGAAACTCAGGAGATAGCAGACAGATGTTTCCAAGCAGAAAAACTCATCCACTGTAAATAGCTTGAAGAGATTATGGTTCCTTGTCTAGATTTAGAAATCAGATGGCGAACAGAGTCAATGGGGTGAAGCAGTTTCTCCAGCCTGGCTCTGGCTCAGTCCCCCATGCCTGCTCCAACCCTGTTGACCAGTGAGTGCATCCACCTACTCTCAGGCCTCCTCTCTTCCCTGCCTTTTTCCCATGATGATCCTAGCCTCCTGGTTTATGCCCTTCCCCATCACCCTGTTTGTACCCACTAGGACCTGGGCTAGGCTGTCCTGGGATTCTTGTCTCCACAATACTATCGAAATTCAGGATGCCAAGAGTAGGAGGTGTTCATCTGTATACTCCTTACTCCTGTTGTTCCCAGGCAGTGTATCCATGTTCCCATGCTATGATTTGTCCTGTGATGAGTCTTTAATTGCTATCCTGTCCTGAGCCATATAGCTGACATCACCCTTTTTTGGTAACGGAGGAGTCAACAGAGACAGAAAGGATTCCTGGGAGCCTTTGCAGAAAGCTCATAGGTGGAGCTTTGCTTTCTTTTAGCTTCCTTTCCCAAACCAGTCATCTGGTTCATGGTCAAATTTACTTGTCTTGGTGACTTTGGCTGACATATCTTGAAAACAGTTATCATTTATTAGCAACCTGTGTTCTTTAGACTTTTGCTAATGAACATGGTTAGAGAGGGCACTTGGCTGACTTGCTGGCAACAAGATAACAGGTAACAAAGGTATATAGTGCTGTGGGGGAAAAGGATGGGAAATCAAACCAGAAAGAAAGGGGGAGGGAATATTGGCATAGGCCCAGATGCCATCTGATGTGTTTGGGTTTTAGGTGATGAGAGACACTGGAGACATTTTTTTTGTGAGTGGGGGTACTCGGATTGAACTCAGGGACACTCAACCACTGAGCCACATCCCCAGCCCTGTTTTGTATTTTATTTAGAGACAGAGTCTCACTGAGTTGCTTAGCACCTTGCTATTGCTAAGGCTGTCTTTGAACTTGCAATCCTCCTGTCTCAGCCTCCAGAGCTGCTCCAGGAGTGTGCCACCGTACTTGGCTTGGAGACTTTTATTCTAGAGTGTTCCATGTTCAGTTCAGTTTGTCTTATAACAATCTACCAGTAGCCATGATGGGGGTGGACCAAAAGGAATGAAGATAGGGTCCAGTAAGCCAAGTTGGTGGGAGCTTGCCGCAGTCTAGCTGGGCATTAGCAGTGGAGAGGGAATGGAAGGGGAGCAGTGGAGACATTGTTTGCACAAGCCTTAAATCCAGATAGGTCTTTGGAGGTAGAAGAGGGAAAGCAGTACCACACTAAGTGTAGCCCCTGCGAGGTTAATGGAGAGATGGCTGCATGTTATGAGAGCCAAGCAAAGGGGAGGAATATTTGAGAAAGGACAAGGAGGGCGCAAAGAGGATGAGTAAGTGAAGGAAGATGAGTATGGCACCGAAAATGCTGACAGGGAGGTACATGTGTTATTTTCAGGTGCATGAATCTAATCCGCACTTGGAAATAGGGGTCTGGATACTACAAAGAGGCTAGATTGAAGACTTTGATTTGAGATTCAAATGAAGCAGCTCATTGGGAGTATCCGAAAATTAAAAAAAAAATTTTTTTCAGTGGAGGGAGTGCCTCCTGGTTGACATTTGAAGTACAAATTGAGTTTGTCCACCCATCCTTCTAGGTTGTAAGACTGGTGTTAGAGAGAAGAGGCCCCAGGACTGCGCAGCAGTGTCCTTCTGCTAATGACAGGATGGGAGATGAACATGCGGCTGTTTCCTTGGTAACAGCCCTGCCTGGCAGGCCTGTGAGCTGTGTCTCGGTGACAGATGGTAAGAGGAAAGAGAATTGAGTGTTACTATTGTCATGTCATCACGTACTGCTTTTGAATTGTCGAGTCAAAAGGGAAAGATAGGAAGACTTCCTCTGGATTCTGAAAAAAAAAAAAAAGAAACCCGCCAGGAATGCAGATCATGATCATCAGCAGAGCTGATGGGACATGTTTCTAGAAAACAAATGTATTGTTCCAAAATGATTACCAGGCATAATTCTGCTCCCAAGCCTTCCTCAGTTTTCTGATCAGCTGTCTGAATATTAATGTTTAAGTATTTATGGACGAAATTGCAATGGAAGGGTCATGGGTTTTCAAATACATGCATTCCAGCTAAGGCATTTGTAACAGAGTTATCTGAGGACTGATGAGGCAGGTTGGGAGATGAGGGTGTTCAGGAAACTAGCCTTATTAGAAACATCATTTTGAAAAGCAAATCCATGATCAGTATAGAAGGGCATAATTGCCTCTTTCCATGTCTCTTGTGATTTTGTTTCCTGCTAGATTGAAAATGTTTATTTTCTTATGATGTCATGATTTAGAGCTTAGCCGTATCCCAGGCCTTGCATAGAGATCTTGGACATACCTGCAGAAGGTGTGAGACAGACTGGATGTAGGTAGTCATAGGGTTGAGTAATGTGGTGGCTGCAGGATGAACACTTATCCTTAAACAAAGTATTTCCTCTTTTCTTATTCTTTCGCACACCTCAATGGGGACCTTTGAAAAACTGTCTACACGCTGAGCCAAGGAGGCTCAAATGGTGATAGTAGAATCTGCTGTGTCACATGTCTCCACTGTATGGCTTCAGCCACTTGCGTTCTTGCCCCAACTGAGGTTTATAAGTTGAGGCTCTGTCCTTTTGTTCATTGATGCCAGCTCAGTTGATGAAGGTTGACAGGAGGAAGCCCAGGGACTTCTTTTGCTGCCATACTCCCTAGATGTCCAGGGTTGTATCTATCTTTGGTGTCCAGGAGTGACTGTTTTGTCATATGGTCAGTCAATTCAACCAAATACAAGTGCAACTAAAACATCCTCAAAGTTGACCATAATTGTCCCCATGACCTAATTACACAAAATTTAGTATTGAGCATACTAAAACACAAGTAGGATTCCAAAGGAATAATGTTTATTTGATTCAAATACAAATTATATCATTATATTTATTTTGTTAGTTATCTATAATTGCATTGTTCATTCAATGGCACTGTCCAATATGCTAACCACTTGCCATTTTGGCTATTGAGCCACACATGGCATTAGGCTATTAGGCTATTTGGCCTAATCAAATAGATAAAATACATTCTGGGTTTTGAAAACTTAGTTCATAAGAAGAATGCAAAATATCTCATTAATATTTTTTCATATTGATTATATGTTGGAATGATAATATTTTAAATGTGCAGATGGTACCTAACTTTTGATGGCTTCACTTACAATTTTTCAACTTTACGATAGTGCAAAAGCAGCATTCAGTAGAAACTATACCTTCAGCTTTGAAGTTTGACCTTTTCTGGGGTTGGTCATTCAAGATATGCAGATGATCATCTCTGGAGATGGTAGGCAGCTGCCGTGCTCAGGAGGGGAAACAATGGATTTCTGCTGAGTGATGTGCTGTTCAGCTAGGATGAACTGTAGGTTACTTTTGATATTTTCAGTTTATAAGGGGTTTATCAGGATGTAATCCCATCATAAATTGAGGATCATCTGTATTGAGTTGAATAAAATATATGATTAAGATTTTAATTATATCTGTTTCCTTTTACATGTTTTTGGAACCAGGGATTGAACCCAGGGGTGCTTAACCACTGAGCCATATATCCAGACCTTTTTTTTGTTTTATTTTGAGACAGGGTCTCACTAAATTGCTTAAGGCCTTGCTGAGTTGCTGAGGCTGAACTTGAACTTGCAATCCTCCTGCCTCAGCCTCCTGAGCCACTGAGATTACAGGTGTGCACTGCCACCCCTGCTTACTTTTTTCTTAATGTACCTATTTGAAAGCTTTGAAATGACACTGTGGTTTATATTTGAGCTCATATTACATCTCTATTGGGCAGCACTGGTCTATAATAGGCATAATAGACTCTGTCATGAAAATTAGCATGTGAAATCTTTTAATGCAAGTCAGAAATAATTCATTACCTTGACAATTTGCATTTTGAAGCTTATCAATTGTAACCTACTGAAAGATTTATTTCTATCAATGTTTCAAATGCAGGTCTTAAGTTTGAAGTCAAACTGAAAAAGAATATCAATGGTTTGGGATTCAGTTTTGTGCAGATGGAGAGAGAAAACTGCAGCCACCTCAAGAATGATCTCGTGAGGATCAAGCGGCTATTTCCAGGGCAACCAGCTGAGGAACATGGAGCCATTGCAGTTGGTGACATTATCCTGGCAGTCAATGGAAGGCCCACAGAAGGCCTTGTCTTCCAGGTGCTGGGGCCCTTGAGGACCACAGTTATGTGTACAGGCTGACATCAGCCATCATTCTTTCAGTGCCCCAATGCCACCCCTGCAGGGAGTACTCAGGCTCTTGAAATTCACACCTAGAGCCTGGACTGATCACACAGAAAGCGTTCCCACATTTAATTTTCTGTCTCAGTTTCTAAATCTCTGACCTTAAGGAAGCCTTGCTTCTCATGAGGTTCATCAGTGAAACTGAACATGAAATTCTGGAACCGTGTGTGAGACTGGAGGGACTAGAGTGGGTCCCTTTCTGCTCTCTTCCCCTGAATTTATAGTTTTTGACACATAACACTGATTATCCTGCCTGTGATAAAATGGAATTAGAGAGAGAGAGAGAGAGAGAGAGAGAGAGAGAGAGAGAGAGAGAAAATGAGACAGAAAAGAGGATTTTTTCTTAATTCCCATAGCATAAATCTCAATCAAATGTTGTCTAAGTTAATCAGGGTCCTGCAAGAAACTGAGAAAATGGAGTCATTTGTGGAGAGTTTAATAATGTGTGGGCAGGTTTTTGGGAAGTTGGGGGAGAGTGTAGCAGACTGGGGACTAGGGCTCGTCATAATGGGGTACATTTCCCACTCTCCCAAGCCCAAAGGGGATGGGGAAGGAGCAATTACCTAAGCCCAGAAACTGCCAGAGTGGGTGAAGAGGACTCACTGGCACAACATTAGCGGAGGGAAGGAACCATCTTGTGGCAACCCCATGGAGAGGAAGTTAAGAACCAACATTGACCTCCCTCTCCTCCCTGTCCCTAGTCTCTGCCTGTGCTCCTTTGGTTGAGTCCAACAGGGAGCCTCATGCAGCCCACACAAATGGGTTCCAGGAGCCCAGAGTAGGAAGGTAGAAAGTGGAGATCAGCTCTGGGAGGGGCCAGGAGGGGTGTGGAGTCTGCAGAACAGTGTGTGCTTAGGTGGGGAGGTCTCACCTTCATTCATCCATCCTCTGACTGAAACCTGTACTCTGAGAGAGACTGAAGACATGGGGGAGAGGAGTTCATATAGTCTCAGAGATCAGGTGGAAATGGGACAGCTCAGGAAACAAAAATGACTACAGAAAATAAAGGGCATATCTGGGCACAGTGGCACAAGTCTTTACTCTCAGGAACTTGGGAGACTGAGGCAGGAGGATTGCAAATTCAAGGCTGGCCTCAGTAGTGCCTCTGGGTTCATTCCCTAGTACAAATAAAATAAAATAAAATAAAGAGTTGTGAGAGTTGAAAGCCCGTGCTGTTTCAACTTCTCCAGGGAAGAAGTGCATCCTGTGGAAGTCCTAGGTGGCTGAAGTGGGAGGCTGTGGAACATCTGGATCATTGGTTCTTAAGCAGAAATGCATTTGTCTCTCAGGGGATATTTGGCCTCGCACAGAGATGTTTATAATTATCACAAGTGACAGGTGGTGCTGGCATCCTGTGAATAGAAACCAGAGATTCTGGCTAAACATCATTCAATATATAGGACATGTGTCTCAGCAAAGAATGACCCACTTGACTCCCCAGTACTGCAAACCCCCTCCCAAATAAAACCCTCCAGAATTATTCAGCCTAAAATGCTAATAGTACTAGGAGACTGACAAATCCTAGCCTCGATAGGAAATAGGGGCTATTAACATCCTTGTGTTATGGGCAGGGTGTAGGTGGCTTAGAGCATAGGTTCAGCATGGTGGGAGCTTAGGATGTGGGTGGAGAGGGGAGAAAGAATATGGAGAATTAGCTGGGGAAAGAGGCAGTGGCAGATGAGAACAGTGTGCTCTGTGTTTGGGACAAGCCAGGGAGGTGGTACAGCAGCAGGAAAACTTGGCCATTTCTGCACTTTGGAAAGACTGCTTGGGCCATTCAGAGGAAGGCAGGTGGGAGACACTGGAGAAGGCAGGTGGGAGACACTGGAGAAGTCAGGAATCAAAGTGGGCCATTGCAGTATCACATGTGAGAGGTTCTCAGGGTCCCAGCAAGCCATGGCAGGAAGCTCAGAGCCAGTGTCATGCTTTGGAAGTCTAGGTAGTGGGGCTAGTCCCAGCCTAGCCTCTGTGCATTGCCCCTGTGGGTCCCACAGCCATTGTCCTTGTCTTCTTGCCCTTTGAGAAGTCAGGCCCACAATGGTGTTCTTCAAACTTCTCTGGAGCCATGAAACAGATCAAGGTTGGGGAAGTGGTAGCCCTCCAGTCATAGTGGGGAATATAGAGGAGAAGCTCCCTAGAGATTCCAGCCCCAAATCTGACTGTGACTCTGGGTTTCTCATAGGAGGTGCTCCATTTACTGCGAGGGGCACCACAGGAAGTCACACTCCTCCTTTGCCGACCCCCTCCAGGTGTGCTGCCTGAGATGGAGCAGGGATGGCAGGTAAGATACTGTGGACTCTACTGTCTTTATCTGGCTCCCAACGTTACCTGGTCAGAAAGTCTTTTCCCTGTATGGTGGTCCTAAGAAGCACATTGCTACTTGTAGGAAGATTCGCCACCACCTCCTTCCACTGGGGGAAGAAAATAAGTAGCTCACAAGCATCAGTGAGTCTCCTTCCTCCTTCTGCTTCTGCTTTTCACGATGCTGAGGTCTTCTTGTACATGTTTATACATTTAGACTTTGGCCGGGAACCTTCTAAGGACAAGCTTTTTGGTAGACTGATCATCAGAGAATGGAAGAAGAAACAAAGAGAATATACATAAATAAGGAATTAAGTGGAAAATAGGATGTATGCCTGCCCTCCTAAAGTAGGAAAGCATGAGGTTCTCCTAAGGCATGTGTGATCTAGTACAAAGAAAAGAGCCACTGGAATCAGGGAAAGTCAAAATTTTTACCTTGATGCTTATGTTAGAGAAACAGTACCACACATACACATACATATCTCTCTCTCTCTCTCTCTCTCTCTCTCTCTCTCTCTCTCTCTCACACACACACACACACACACACACACACACACACACACAAGAAAGAAAGACATTTATTTTAAGGGATTGGAATGTTGGTGGCTGTCCAGCCCCAATTCTACAGGGCCAGCCAAAACAGGCTGGGGCATCAGGGAAGAGTGCATGTAGAAGTCCAGCTCCAGGAGAGTCTGGAGGCAGAAGTCCCTTTTATCAGGGTAGGGGCAGGAGGTGACCTTTACTCTCAATGCCTTCATCTGATTGGATAAAGCTCCACATTATGGAGGGTAATCTATTTTTACTCAAATTCTACAGATTTAAATGTTAAGCACATCTGAAAAATATCCTCACAGCAATAACTAGACTGGTGTATGATCAAATATCTGGTTTTGTGGGCAAGCTAATGTGAAATTCCCCATTGTTCTGTCCCCTGTGGAGTCCTAGGAAACAAACTCTTAGGCAGGTATTTGAGTGCAGGAGGTTTATGGGTCCTTCCATCTGGGACATCATCTGTGAGGAAGAGGTTAATATGGTGCAGCTGCAAAAATGGGCCTCAGTGATCCCCTTAGATCTATCCTGAATTTCACTCTGCTTTAACCAGCAATGGGATGTGGGCTGATCCAGGGAGGGGGCCTAACTTTGGCTGAGGGAGCTCAGCAGTGGTTCCTGACATTGTATAAAAATCAGTTTTTGGTAGCCTTTAAAGATGTTTATAGTGGGAGGGAGGGGAAAAATGGATGGGGAGTAATATTGGCTAAATTACATTATTATATTGTGTGCATATACAAATATGTAAAAACAAATAGCATCAGTATATATGACCATAAGGCACCAATTAAAAATATGGGTAAAAATATATTTATAGCATATCAAATGAAGAGGTCTATTAAACAGTAGTTTATGGCACATAAGTATGAGGTCAGGACTGGAAAAACTGAATTTGGAATTGCTAGCATATAGCCATCACAGAATGGCTTAAAGTGGTGGGGACAACATTAGGAAAGTCAAGAAGAGGACTGAGAAGTCAGCACCAGGCCTCAACACTGAAAGGTCTTGTTCAGAAAGATGAGGCAGCAAATGAGAATGAGAAGAAGGCCTGAGAAGTGCTAGGAGAACCACACAAGGGTGCAGATGACAGCAAACCCCACGTATGTAGAGTAAATAAGTAAGGAACCTTCCAATAAGGAGGAAGGGACCAGAAGTCTTGAGTGCCCATTTGTCATCTGCAGTCACACATCTCACATTAGCATGGTCAGAGGCTCAGAGCATATGTGATGTCCACGAGTCATTTCACTAGAAACTGGAATTTAGATGAACTATCTGCAGGTGGAGTGGAGTGGACTTCTACATGCACTCTTCCTAGAGATGGAGGTGGAGAGGGATGAGAGGAAGGAGCATAGGGGAGTTCTTTGTTTTTGTGGTAGCAAAAAATGGGGTAGAGTCCTTTGACTCTAGGCAGAGTCAAAGGAAAAGTGAGAGCATGGTGGTGGGAAGAGGAGTGACGGTGATAATTAAAGAGCAGCAGATCCTGGACTGGAAGCCTTGAAGAGTGGAAGGACTGCGGGAGAGAGTGTCTGAGGACTGGGAACAGGAAGGAGAGCGAGGGTTAAAAAGATCTTGAAGGTCCCCCCAAAGAATACAAAACTGTGATAACTGTTCTTTCTTTTCATTTTTTTCTCATCTATTTTAATTTTTAATTTTTGGTACATCCATTATAATGTGCAAGTCTATCCATGTTACGTGTTTCTAATTTATAATTAATAAATGTGCACCTCTCATTGTGGGGATATAGACAGTTAGAAGGGCAGGGAATCCTCAGGGGTGGGATGGTAGAGGTGAGGACAGGGCTGTGAGCTCAGCCAGTGTGTTCACTGGGATGTAGATTATGGATTAGAAGTGCTGACCTAATTTTTAGGCAAAGGTGAAGTCACGACTGTCAAACAGTTATAAACATGAGCACCTGTTAAAGATTTTCTTTAACTCATTGAAAGAGGAAACTAGGCAGATGTTAAAACTGATTCAACAGAGATTTCAAAGAACAACACATTTATTCATAGAGTTGTAAAATAGCTCAAAGGCCACGAATGTGGCTAGAATCAAATGACTCAGAAGGTTGTGCTATGCATGGTCTTTTAGAAACACAGACTGTCCTTCTATAGAAGGTTGAGTAGTGGTAACAAGTCATAGCAGGTTTTCAAAGTAATAACCTAAAAATCCAACAGAGGTACAAGCAATAGAGGTGGATCAAGTCATGTTTGGAGAAGAGGGGTTGAGACCCAAGAAAGAGCCTCATGCTGGAAGGCAGAGAAAACTCTTTTCTTATTGGAAAGTAAGATAAAATGTCACATTTTTTTTTAGTTTTTCTCCAATTTTCATTATGTCTAAATATTGCAAATACTGTAGTATCCCTTCTTCAGAAGAGATATGTTTCAAAACCCCCAAGGGATGCCTAAAACCATGTATAGTGCCAACTCCTGTATATCCCATCCCCCCATATGACCTGCAGCATTACCACATAGTACCAGAGTTAATCTGTCCTTCCATCTTTTATGTCCTGATGCCTTTTTGCATCACTACTCTTGTGCCTTTTGGCCAGTATTAAGTAAAATAAGGGTTATTTGAACAGAAGCACTACAATACCCTAATAGTTGATCAGTGACCAAGATAGCTACTGAGTAACTAATGGGCAGGTAATGTATACAGCATGGATACATAGGACAGAGATGATTCATGGCTTGGGCAGGATGGAGCAGAATAGTTTTGAGATTTCATCATCCTATTGAGAATGGTGTGCACTTTAAAAGTTATGAATTATTTATTTCTAGTATTTTCTATTTGATATTTTTAAACTTTAGCAACTGAAAATGAAGCCATGGATAAAGTGGTGTGTGTGTGTGTGTGTGTGTGTGTGTGTGTGTGTGTGTTTGTAATGAATTTCTCATTACAAAATAATCAGAGGTCACATTTATTGAGAGTTTTCACTGTCCCTACACTAAGGTGCTAGGGATAGGACTGAGTGTGTTGCTGTGGTTCAGGAGGAGTAAGTGGGAAAGCTTAGATCTTGATGGAGGGGTCTAACCCCAAGGTCTATCTTTTAACTGCTCTGACCTACAATCGTGAAAAAAAGCCTTTTATTTCTCAAAGAGGCAAGTTTTAGAGTTTGCTCAGTGTGCACCATGGAGCCAGTAATCATTAGCATTTCTTTTAATAGATATCTGCACTCTCAGCAGACAAAGAACTCACCAGGGCAACATGTACTGATTCAGAACACAGCCCCAGCCTGGACCAAGAGGACAGATGGAGGGACAGTGCCTCCCTGGATGCAGGGGAAGGCCTGAATCTCAGGCCAGAGTCTTTTTACAAGGCCACCAGTGAGGCACAAGGAGGCCAAGACAGAGAGAAACTATGGGCTGGGTCCTTGACACGTCCTCTGGAGTCCCATCCTCATTTATGTAAACTTCACCAAGAAATGGAGCCACCAATATTGGCTACTTCATTGGAAAATGATTTGAGGCAAAATTGCTATTCTGTGTGTGATATCAGGAGACTTGGAAGGTAAGACTAATGACATTTACAGACATTTTGTAAATTGCATGTATTTCATTATAATCAAGCAATCAGTAACTAGGCTCAGATGCTTATTGTGTCCAGTATTGTTCTAGACATTTGGAAGGGAAGCAGAAAGAAGAGGAGCATAGTTTTTGTAACCACAGCTTGTGAGATTTGGGGGAAGCAACCCACCTAGACCAAGATTGTCCCCAGAATGTCCTGGAGAACACAGAAGGCAGCCTCGGGTTTTCGCAAAACTTTGTCTTATACCATTCATAGCCTTTTAAAGCCTCTAATAGTGGTAAGAAGTTCTTGCAATATAATTCTTTATTATCCACACCACCTTTAAAAAAATCCATCTACATCTTCAGAAACAGAGTAAAATTTTCATGTTAACAGCCATTTTTGTTCCTATACATCCCTAAGTATTTGTAGTTTACTACTGTTCTCATGAAACATACATCTTTAGTTAGATAAGTATTTATTATATACCCAAAATTCTAGGGAACTTGCTAGGAGCAGAGAGTGGAGTACAAATGCAAGGGGGAAGTTACTGCTTCTAGGTGTTTGCCAACTCAATGCCTATGCACCCAACAGGCAAATAGCAAAGAGCAGTAGTTTGTGTTTGACACTATATAAATGCATTGAGATTAAATTGCTCTAATTTATGGTCATCCTAGACAAGAGACACGAGTAGATAAATAGGACTAGCTGCTGATATGAAGAATAATCAGCCCTTCATATGTGTGGGTTCTGCATTGTGGATTCAACCAACTATAGACTGCAAATATTTGTAAAAATTGCATTTGTACTGAACATACGCAGATTTTTTTTTTTGGTCATTATTCCTTAAACAGTATGGTAACAACTATTTACGTAACATTTCCACTGAGTTAGGTATTATGAATAATCTAGAGATGATTTAAGTATGTGGAAGGATGTGTAGGCTATACACAGATATCTACTACATTTTGTATAAGGGGCTCCAATATCTGGGGATTTGGGCATCTGATGGGGGGGTGGCGCTCTGAAACCAACCCCCTATGTATATTGAGGCTCCACCGTATGAAGCAGCAATAAGCATACAATTAAGCCTTATGAGAGACGTGACAAACAGGGTCCAGGCCCACATTCCCTCAAAGCAACCTGATTCAATCTTTTAAAGAACAGTGTGTCAGCCAAACAAAACCTAACTAGCTTGCAAAGTAGAACAGGGTGGGCAATCACATTAATCAGTGATACTAGTTTCAATTGTTTGATAATGAACATATAAACCCATGTGTATTTACAGTTCCTTACAATTGCTTTCTAGGCAGTAATTGATATACTTGATAAAATCATAAAAAGAATAACCTATGGAGATATATCCAAGGACAATCATTAACATGCTCTTGTAGGATATATAAGAATTCTACCTCCTATAGGCATGGGGCTACTATTTTGAATTATTAAAAATCTTATGTCCAGATAATTTGGGGTGATAAACCCTGTCATCTGGTTTCTAAAGTAGTTCTGGATTTACATGCAAGCCCAGACATAGAATTACCATGTGCCCTTAATCCAGTATAGTTGATAGTTACTAAAAATGCTATTTTCAAACTAATTACTAGGTATACAGTCAATACTTCATTCACAGTGTCATAGAATATCAGATTGTTCCATATAAAGATGATCTAACCTAAACTCATTTTCCTTGCTAGAATCTGTTCTATAACACTCCACAAGAACGGGACCCAGCTTTTGTTTGAATATCTCCAGGAATGCAGAACTGGTTACCTCTTGAAGTGACCCATTTGAATATCATAGAGTTGTTGATCACAAAGTGCTTCATTTTATCAAGATGAAATCTATTTCTTTATTTCTTCTACTTGAAAATTCTGACACTCATCTCTTCTTATCTTTTTCTCATTAATTTAATTTTATTTTTTGCAAGAAACATCATATTATTTTGTTTTTCTGATTAAATTTGGCTTTCTGTCCCTGCTTACAAGGGCATACCAGATGTCCAAAATCTGTCATTCTTAGAGGGGGTTGCCTTTTTAGAATCACACAAGAGTCCCGAATGCTTGTCCAGAATGTTCTAGTAGAGCCTCTGCACTCACTTCGTTTCCACCCTTTGCTGATTGCCCTGGCCCATATGGTCCACACAGCCACGGCAGGCGGCCTCAGTGTTGTCAGCACTGCTCCCTCCATAGCCCTCACCTTCTCCTTGCACTTGCCTCTTGGTGATGGTTCTGGCTTTATTTATTTGTTTATTTTCGTTCTCCCCCCACAGGAACCTTTTCTCCTCTGTGAAAGAAACACTCAAATCATGACAGCTTTTCCTCCAACAGTACATTAGCTCACATTTAATGCACAAATAGCAAGTGACTGCCCCCTACCGGAATGAAAGTGTGGCACAAGCCCAGCAATCACAAGGCAGTTCTTTCAACTCCTGAGAAGGATGGGAATTAAAAATTCCAAAATAAGATTGTGGTTCTTTGTGGATCCACTTAGAAATATCTTCAGTTTTGATGTGGCTGTGCCAGGCCAACTGCCTCTTTGTTTCTGGTATCTATGGGTCAAACTTTCTGCAGTTTACAACAAAAAAGCATAAACTTCTAGATCACATATCTTGGTTTTAGTTTTACTACTTACTAGTGTGCCTGGAGAGGTGACGGCCCTGAGCTGGAGGCGTCCCCGTTATGAACAAAGATCACAACCATTGCACAGGACATGTGCAGATCAAAAGAAATCACACATCATAGTACTTGGCACAGAGTAGGGACTCAGCACAAGTCTGTATTCTTTCCCTTTCTAGCTAAAGGACAGGCCTTGTAAATTGAAATTCCCTGCAAAGTACCAGAACTTACCATCTACTGGGTGGCTACTTCTTAACCCCAGATGCCTTCCAGCACCTCAGAAAACTCAGAATGTCACAGAAAAGATTAGATTTCATTTTTCCTTCTTTGTTCTCTTCATTCTCTGTTCAGAGATTTTTATCATGTAGTCATGGATCTTTGTAAGCACAACATCAGAAAGCAGTGCAGTCCATTTTCACAGAGGATTGTAGGGATTCTGTGCCTATTAGGGGCAGGGCTTGGCTGGGGAAGCATTTGCATCTTTTTAAAAAATTGTTCTAATTAGTTATACATGTCAATAGGATGCATTTTGACATATAGTACACAAATGGAGCGCAACTTCTCATTCCTTTGTCTGTACATGGTGCAGAATCACTCCAGTAGTGTAATCAAACATGTATACAGGTAATCATGTCTGTCTCATTTTACTGTCCTTTCCATCCCCACAGTCCCACCCATCCCCTCACACATCTGCATATTATTCAGGGTTAGTTTCTAAGGTTTAGACATAAGGTGAAAATCACATTAAGTTATTTTGCCCTTGAATATCACTTTGGAAGATATGATGTTATGTGCTTCCTTAGTGTGGGAGCAGAACACTTCTTTGTTTGAGCCCCAATGCAGTCTGGAGGCTTGCATCTGTGGGCCATACTCTATGCGAACTATGTATCTTCAAATCCTGGGCTATAGGAACTGAGACTGAACCTCGGACATGGAGGATTCCCTTCTCCCACTCAATGTGTACTTCAGGGCTTACACTCATTGTGTGAGAAGTTAGACACAGCAAAATGTTTGAGGTTCTCTCTTTCTCTCTCTTTCTTCCCTCTCTCATGTAGCACATGTAGTTGAATTGATGTAAGTAAAATGCATGTAAGTTGAGCAAATGCCATTTTGTAAAATGATAAATTTTTATGGCCATTTAAGAAGCAAAAAAGAAAAAAAAAAGCTAGGTACAGTGGCATATACCTGTGATCCCAGAAAATTGGAAGGCAGAGGCAGGAGGATAATAAGTTTGAGGCCAACTTTGTCAATTTAGTGAGACTCTGTGTCTAAGTGAATAAAGAGCTGGAGATATAGCTCAGTTGTAGAGCACCCCTGAATTCAGTCCCCAGTATTGCTAAATGAATGAATGAATGAAATGCAAAATAAAGCAGAAGTCCTTGAAATGAACCCAAAGTGACTCTACAATGCCTTCTGTGAGAGGGCACTGCTCTTGGAATAGTAAAGAATAATTAGCAGTCTCAAGGAGCTGCCAGGCCAGCTGTGACAAGAGTAGCTTTTGGGGGATGAATCAGCCAATGAACAGAGCAGGGCTATCACGCCTACACTTCAATGAGAGTGTGGTTGAGGGGAGTGAGTGAGGCACAAGCCCCGCTAGGACCAGCAGTAGCCTAACAGAGCGGAGCCCATAGCAGGCTCTCAGCACTTACAAGACCCCCTCCCACCAAGACATACCTCTCTGACAACTCCAAAATATTGATCTCCGTCTCAGATTTATCATTTGAACTTCAAATACAGCACTCCATTAGACCTTTCTACTTGATGTCTTAGAGACATTGCAAACCTGACTTGCCAAATGCTAAAGGAGCGAAGACCCAGAGCTCCCATAAGCATCACTAGGGCTAACAGGACATGCGAATCAGACCCAATACTGGAAAGCTAGAGAAAAAAGCTAGAGAAAAGGCTGAAGTTTACATGAAGAGATACAAAATTTAACTTTTTGTAAGATTAACCACAAGTAAATAGAACAATTATATTGTAATAGCTTCTTATTTCAGATCTGAAATGCTATCTTCTAATTTGTCTTCCTCAAAGATGGAGATGATTTTGGTAATCCAGATCTTTGAAGAACATCATCTGCTATGGAAACTGGACTTGGTGTCTTATCTCTGCAAATAACCTATCATGAGCTGAATCTCCAGAATAATTTAACTGACCTCAGAGCTAAATTAGGGTTCCTATTCATAGAAATAGCTGCTAAAGAGCTGCAGGATTTTGGTGGGATCCTGTCTGCTTACATGGAAGAGAGATGGTTGGGCAGAGGGAGCCCAAGGTGGATCTCCAGATCTTCTTTTAGGTACCATGTATCTATCAAAGACTCCTTTTGGATAGCTTGGTAGACAGGAACAAAGGTAGGAGCATTCAAGTTCACTAAATATACCTGGGGGTGAGCAGAGAACTCTGAACACATTGACCCCTTCCGTTGCTTCATGGGAGCCCTGCTACATTCTCCCTGGAGGTCTTAAACTGGCTTCAGGTCCCAGTGAAGAACTCTGACCCTGTACCTGGTCTGTCCACCTGCCAAAACACCTGGCCTTGCTCTACTGTCTTTATCAAATTCCTCAGATCTCCAAGTCTTGCCCTTTCTAAGCAATAGGCTCCACCTTGGAGCACACACAGGCCTTTTTGTGCCTCTTCTTTCCTTGTTCACCCTTTCCCATGCCCATGGTGGAGTTCAAGGTCAGATCTGCAAGAGTAGCTTGAGTGTGTGCAGAAGAGTGGAAGCAACGGCTGTAGTTCTTCATAACTTATAGCAGAATGAGGACGAGGATCTCTCCATGGGGACCACCAAGACCTACCTGGAAAGGTTGATATCCTTCTAGGTCTATGTCTAGGCAGGATCAGAAGCTGGAGCCTCAAATCAAAGCTAGACTCCTTATCAGAAGAGATAGAGCAAGAAAGGTGGTAAAGGTGTGGTATGGACTTTCAGAAGGCTCTAATAGCTGGTGGGCAGCAGCTTCGTGCCCCCTCAGGGTGGGGAGTTTGGCCTGGGCCAGCATGGGCAGCAGTCTAATTTTCCTGGATGTTCTTATGTTTATATGTGATTCAGACTACTATTTTTAAGTTTTGAAAACATTTTTTTTCCTCCACACATTCAGCAATTTTTACTTTTCTTCCTCATCCCACCCTCCAGCATTTGTTTTTTCCAGCCAGGCATACTCCTGTAATCCCAGCAACTAGAGAGGCTGAGGCAGGAGGATCCCAAGTTTGAGGCCAGCCTTAGCAACTTAGGGGAGACCCTCTCTCAAAAATAAAGAGGATTGGGGATGTAGTTCATTGGTAAAGTGGCCCAGGGGTTTAATCCCTAGTACCAAAACCAAAAAGAAAATGAAAGCTTTTGGTCCCCTTGAAAGTGAATGTTTCTCTTTAGTCCGTGCAAAATACAGTTTCTTTTCTATATACACAAGTGTGCTTGCATTTACATGGAATTCACTGCCGCATATACCCTGTAGCTTCTATGAGCAGAAATGATGTCCTTTTCACAGCAAAATCAGGTTGTGACCGACGCTTTCTGGGTGTTCGGGGTTTGTAGCCATTGGTAAGTGCTACAGCTGATTTTAAGAGAGTCAGTGTGGGAAATGAGAAGGGAGGGAAGGGACACATAACAAAGCCAACCTATTGAGGAAGGAGGCTGAGAAAAGAGGATTTGTGTACTTGGTGAAACAAACTAACAAACAAATTAAATCTCTATGCTTTTCTCTTAGATTTTCCTTCTCATCCTCTCTAACCAGACTTGCAACAGATATTTTCTGAGCACCTTCTCTGCATGTCTGCAGTGCTGTGCAAAGTTCCCTGCTGTCTGCCTGGACTGTTCTTTCTAATCAAGGCATGTGTGGCAATATTGGGGTAGTCCCTGGAAGGCTCATTCTTTCACCGTTGAGTCTGCAACATCAGATAATGGGTTTTACTGTTCTTCTGCTTCCTATGTCCTTCCAAGACAGGGAGTAAATGTCACTCCAGCTGGCTGCCTCTCGAAATAGGCACTTTTATTCAGCAGTCAGAAAAGGACCTCATATATGCAGAAAGTGCTTTGAAGGTCCCCTGCTTGAGTCACTCCCAGTCTCCTTTGTTAGCTTTTCCAAGTAATCCCTCTGCTGAAATCATAATCATCATAATAGTTGTAATAATAGCATCTTTCACTGACTGAAAACTCACCCTGTGCCAGGATCCATGGAAGATATATATCAGAATTATTTAATTTAAACATCCTAACAATCCTATAAATTTGTTGACTTTCCAGTTTTTGCAATGAGAATATTAAAGTTCCAGAGAAATTAATAAACTCTGTTTATCGTGTGAAAAGTTGATCCTAGAACTGAGTCATAGTGCTGCTCTCAATGCTCTGCCCTCTGTCAAGTCCCGTGTGGCCTCTGGGGCTTGGTAAGCTGTCCCCTGCTCATGAAACACTCAGCTGCTTCTGCCATTGCACTTACTGTTCAGACTGTATCATTTGTTTGCTGCTCTTTGGTCTTAAACTGATGCTACTCCAGCACAGGTGCCATGCCTCATTCTGTGATTGCTTTCTGATGCCCGGAGCAGTTTCTCACAGGAGCTGTTTGAAGTCTAGCTGGGTCTCATGTGTCATATCATGGTGCGCTTCCTGCAAGGCAAGAGGAAGCAGGGTGAGGAATTTCTGACTGAGACTGGAAGGACACCCATTTCTGTTTTCTAGTCCTGAACTGAATAGGGATGATGAGGAATGTGACGTACATTATCCACCTGAAAGCCCTTCCCCCACCTCGGAGGATGAAGAGTACCTGACGATCAACTCTGTATTCGAAGACGAGCTGCCCTGTGCAGACTGTCTGGAGGCAGATTCAGGGACCATTCCTTTGCCACAGTTCTGTTCTTGGGGCCCTCTCCCAGAGTCTTTGCTTCTGGAAGGGTCCCATGAGAGTGACAGTGAATGGGAAGACCTGGAAGAGCCTGTGGATACAGATGATGGTGTCCTCAGGTGGGTATCAAGCTCTCTCTGGGTGGGATGAGGCTGAACTCTTCCCATGGGGCTCAGTATTTTCAATCCACTTGGGCCAGGATAATGGACCATGGCATGACTCAGTTCCTCCGTCATCCACTGGGGGGTTGTCTTGGCAGCTGTTTTCATTGAGTGTTTCCTACAGTCCTTGTTCCATGACAAATACCTACCAGACAGGGACTGCCATCACCTTCATTTTACCCAGGACATTTGGGGCTTCTCCAGGGTCAAATGGTGAGTAAATGACAGAGTCAGGCCTGGTCTCCCCTCTAAGGCTATGGGTTGAGAGCCTTCTGTGCTGCCTCCAGCATATCACTTGGGCCTCTCCCTTTCTGGGGGCCATATGTCAAGGGCCAATTCCTATCTTGTCTCCTCCTGCCTGCCTCTGGCCTAGATGTATTTCAGAAAGCAGTCTTGTTGTCACATAATGGGGCTCTTCTTGTTGAGCTGCTGTGACTGGTTATAGGTTAAAATCAAAAAAGTTTATTAATGCAAGGATCCCCTAGGAGCTGGGACAGGGTCACCAAGCTGGGGTAAGAGCATATGATGAAAAAGAGGCAGGAATAAGTGTAACACAAACCATCAGACTGGGTGGAGAGGAGGTTACATTTTTGACAGGTGGATAAACATCCCAACATTCTGATAAAGTGTATATAATGTGTGCAGTTCCAGTGTAAAAAGATGCTGAATATTCAAGAGACTTTCACATAAACCTGTTTCTAAGGCATATTGAAATTGACCAAGGCATTAGTTTCTAAAGATTCTGGTATAACTGAAACACACTCATTTTCTTTCATCCCATTGTGTCCCAGCCACATTTCCCTCCCTGGCTATATAAAAGGAAGTTGGGCCACCACAAGTGATTGAACTGGATTCTCAGAGGAGAGTGGCAGGCAAGCTGATAAGGGTGGATATTTGAAATTCAAATATGATGATAGAAGTGCTGGTTCTTATCTGAAATAGGAAGCAACACATTAATAGAGGGGATGATGCTGAGGCTTTGAAGGCAGTGCATGGGCATTTGTGGGAAGTTGGAAACCTTATCAGGGTAGGAAGGCATATTATGGTTTCACAAAAGTGTGGAGCAAGCAGGGAGCAGCTTATATGTGGAAAGCAATCTTCCTGGAGGGGCTCTTTGAAGTTTGGGAGCTAAAGTAAGGAGGCTGAGCAATCTTTGGGCCCCACAGTGAAGCAACTAAAGACCACAAATGTCAGTGCTTATGAAAGGTCCTACCAAGATCTGCAACACCAGGCAGCAGAGAGCAGAGCAATGAGGAGAGGACATTGAGGAATGGGTTCAGGTTCGCACTATTAGATCCTGTAGCAAATGATTTTTAAACTAATATGCAGCTGACCACCAAATGGAGATAACCAAACCACTTCATTCTGTTATTGTGGGTTAGGTGACAATGCATGCCACTTGTTTAGTGTAATACTCAGGAAGTATTAGCTATTTTTATCATAAATGTAAAGGGGAAACTATTTCAGTGAGATTATGTAACCCTTTGAATGCATCCAATTCTGTTGCTTTTTTCCACGGAGACAAAGGAATTAGGCATGCAGACTTGTGCCCTAACATGAGGTGTGGGATAGGTGTGTGGGGGGGAAGTACCCATCTAGGAAGTATCCATCTAGGGCAAGTGTGTCAGGATCTAGTTGGACTGACTAGTCCTCAGCTGTGAAAGGTGGATTGGGATGTAGTTAGGATGAGTACTGTCATAATCTCTTATCCTGCACAAAAACAGAGAGCAATTTTCACCCTCACACCCTGCCATGCTAATAGAGGGTAGTGTGCAGGCATTGAATGCTCAAAGCATGAGCTCTAGGCCTGGGCTTCAAGGAGTGGCCTGTTTGCTTCAGGAGAAATGTGTTTTGATATCTATCTGTATCCTTTCATCAAGATTTCAGCATTCAGAGCTCCCGTCCCCATCTAAACTTCTGAATATTCTTTGTATTTCCTAAGTGGTCTCTAACCCCGCAAACTTTAAGGCTATATACACTTGTTTGTCCTGGAAGTGAGGAGACATCTTGGACAATGTAGAGAGGACTTTTCTTATGGATGGAGTGGTGTATCCTTTAAACCTGTATCTGAAATTATTTTGTTTGATCCTTTTAGACATTTAGACAATAATAATAGAAAACTAGTGTGATAATGTAATTTCCCCATCAATTTTGAATGGTATTTTAATTTCTCTTTTATAATGGACTTAGAACACTTATTTAATTTGTCTAGGATCATATAGCAAGGAGAGATGAATTCACACTGGTGTATTTTAAAATTTCCTCTAGAATATGTGTTTCCATGTGAATTTATATAATATTTATGTCTCTCCACCAAGTGGCACAAAGGTTACTTTTTTTCTTACAAAGTATTTCTCTTTTGTGAGGCTAAAAACAACAATAACAAAAAAACCCCAAATAAATCCAAATGCCCTAACCAATCAGATTTCAGGAAGGCTGCTGGCCAAATAATGGAGCCACCCATTAAAAGCTGCTTGTCATTTTAGGTGAATATAGAGAATGATACAGTCTCCTGAGGCAGAAACTGAGGTCTGCGAGGACATCCTTTGACAGAAGAGCCCACAGATGATGGTGGTCCACAAAATATACCTACAGGCTCTGCCACTAGGGAAGAAGCCTGTGGTTCCTGGTCCCTGAGAGGACAACTGAGGGTGGAGCACCTGGCCCAGTTGTTAAGAGCTCACTTTTAAAACATCATGCCTATCATTTCCAAGACTCATTTTGAACGATTCTTAGCTCTAGGATTTACATCAATCAAAGCTTTGTATGCATGAGGATGGGGTGGCTTCTTCTCATGAAAGGAGTTGGGAATAAACCTTTTTCATCAAGATTTCAGGGTGCAGTGGTGCACACCTGTAATCACAGTTACTGTGGGTGGGGATGCTAAGGTAGGAGGATCCCAAGTTCAAAGCCAACCTGGGCAGCTTAGCAAGACTCTGTATCAAAATAAAAGACTGGTTGTAGCTTAGTGGTAACGTGCTTGTTTAGTGTATGTGAAGCCCTGCAATCCCCAGTAATTAACTGAGGCTCAGTCCCCAGTATTTGAAAAAAAAAAAAAAAAAAAGTAAGGTAGGGCAAAGTCTTTGCACACTTTCTAGGACAAATACAAACTTCTAGTTTAAATTTTTTAGTTTCCTATTGGTCAAAGGAGTTTCTATTGTTATCAAAGTACCACCAGTTTGCTGAAAGGAATCTGCTAAGAAGCTTGATTCAAAGGCCATGGGGGAAATGTGTTTTGATATCTATCTGTATCCTTCCTATACAACTTCATAGTTATATACTCTCTTACAGAGACTTTTCCTTTTGTACTTAAACACAATTCTAATGATTATATGGAAGAAAAATAAGATAGGAACATCTAATAATAAAAAAAGAGTGAAGTACTAGATCTAGCATTGCTAGGTGTTAAAACATTAACTGTAGTATTAACAAATGCACAAAAGAAATATATGTGGCAGATCACAGTGCAAGCTACAGAACATACTTGAGGATATACCCAGATCATACAATGGGGAAAGATGAGGCCTAGTGAAGGTCTAATGTGGAGAAAAGGGGAACAGCCTCATAGGTACAACTGGAAGAGGGAGAGATACAGAGGGAGAGATACAAAGCAACAACAACAAACAAAAAGCAAATATGAAGGTTTTAAAAAGGCTGTGCTCTAAAATCTAATTTATGTATTCTTCTAATTTGTACATCCTTGTGTGCTTTTGTTTTTATTCTTTCTGTTCTCTTCATGATTGAGAAGATTTATAGA